TCGTGACACCCACAGGGGAATCGCCAGGCCTGTCGTACATTGTAACTGACTCGCCCCCAAGTCACTGTGCTCCTTATCTCAGTGGCTTCCACCGGCTGATAACGCCACAGCCTAAACATGCTTGATGATGATTGGGGATTGGTTGGACATACTTCACTACATTGGTCAGTGTGGATTGGTGAAGTCGGGACGGGGGAGGGGGTAGGTTAGGACCGCTTGAGATGTTGCTCTGCCTTTGGCCGGAAATCAATTGCAGGTCGTCCCAGTTCACGGCACGGCTAAATGCTGCGCTGCTGCTCCGCCTCAACAGGGTCACAAAATAAACAATGATAGAGCTGTAATTGTTCCAATTTCGTATTTCTAATGTAATTTATCTGTGTGTGGATTAAACTGCAGTTTATGACTGGTGAAGCAAATCTGAAAGTGTTATGATGAAGATAGTTTCAATGCCCAATCAGCAACTGGTGACACAATGAAAGCGGCACTTTGAGACCCCATGAGGGATGCCTAAATAAATAATTAATCACAGTGTTATTATCAATTCATTATTATTATATGGGCACACTGCTGTGATAGCTACTGGGGGGCACTGATGCGGTTTTTATTTGGACTCATGTTCAAGCACGCAAGGCTCCTTCATTCGGCATCAACACGAACTGTTTGGAGCATTTACAAGGACTCATTTCGAATATGTACCCACGTGGGTTCCAATAATGTTTCATAATAACACATGGTATCGTTCCAAGTTCCACCTTGAAAGTTACAGAGATCTGATATTTTTGTTTTAATTAAACGATTCCACCAGCCGTGTAATTCCTGGCAAACAAGACCAGCGCTCTACAGTTTTTAAAACACGTGGCAGACCAAAAGGACCCATCTGTAGCCCTCCAAGCTGTTACTCAAATCCGCTGCACGCGAGAGAGAAGTTCTAACCTTTGTAAGTGTGGAGCAGCGTGGGCAACACCGTGCCTCGTCGCACACGCTCTCCCAGAGCTAGAGACGATGGCCTTTGGTGACCTTTAGTGAATATACATCACTCAATGTAATTGAGCCTCACACGAGATCACTGTCAACTTGTGGTTTTGGAGTCGCACGGTGATTGAGCTGTGGCTTTGTTTTCATTAATCCACGAACTGCCATATGATCACTCATGGCTAAGACAGAGACCACAGCAATGCAGGGAATCACTCGGCAAGCGAATATGTTGATTCATACAGAGCGAGCCAGATTTTTTTTTGGTACAGCAGCAGCAGCAATACCCCAACTTGTATGAAAACAATCTGCTAATAATCTTCATGTAACACTCACGCGAAGTGAGTTATATGCAGTTCTTGTGCTTGCGGAGGAGAGCGAGCTATGGTGCGCCGATCGCATTCTTTACTGGCAGCGGTGAGCTTGCGGTGAGAAAGACGAGCAGGGAAACGTGGCCGCAAATGCAAGTCCGTGCTTGCTCCTGCGAGCACCGTGGGCTCTTAGGGTTCTTCATTGTACCCCCCCCCCCCCACATCGCGAACGCTTCTCTCGCTCACTGAATCCACCGGCTCTCATCGTCGACAGAATCCCATCCCATTCGCCAAACGTTCCGCCGGGATCAATAGGTGGAAATAAAAAATTCAATCTCGTTAGTCCGAGGCCCGAACAGGTACTTTGCCCGGCATTGGCATGACCTTGGTACGGGGTCATAGGGGGCCCCTGGTGACTGGACGGGGGCCAACGAGGACATGCATTGACACTCCACTGTGCTAATGCTGTGCATGTGAAAGCCCACGAGTATGCGAATTGCGACGGATTGTCGCGTGTGTCCACAGCCAAGGATTACGTACAAGTACGTTTATTCAGCGTGTGATCTCAATCCACATTGTAAAAGTCACTAGCTACGCAATCGGTTCCAGAGTTACCAAACACACTTCCCTCCCCATTCGTCCTCCCCATCCCATCAAGCCATCCGTCCGCGTATTTATTTTCCACGAGCAGCGGCCAAGGGGTTGCGTTGTTACGCGCGCACCGAGAGATGGGAAATGTGACCCACCTTGGCGCACTTCTCCCGCTGAAGGGACCTCCCTGCACAGCAGCACGCGCTCATCATGACCGCGGCGGAGCCCACACCCCCCCGACCCCCTCGGAGGAACGTCCTGCGGGGACACACGGGCGGTCGCAGCCTCACTCAGAACTTGCTTCCAGAGGTTACTCATTACACATTGCAATGCAATGCGCGAACACACACGCGCGCATATATGTGATGTGCACAGTGAAGACGGTCAGCACACACGTAACCCAGGTCATCCCGTCGAGTCTCAATGGGTTCGTTTAATCTGCTGGTTAATGAAGGTGACTGACTTCAATCTACGGAGACGTTGCCTTTTCATAGGATCGGTTGTGAACTATAGTACCTGGAGATGAAAAAAGTATCCCTGAAGACAACATTGAAACAAAGTCTTGACTTCAAACTCATACAGCAAAAACAAATCACGAATAACCACACACACGCGTACGGTTGTACTCTGCTTACAGCCCTGGCTACTCACGGTGCTTAGAGCATCTCCCTTTCACTCTTGCAGCAGCTCCTCGGCTCGCACGCGAGTCTCAGCAGGCGTGCCGCCCGCGTGATGTTTCCCTTCGGTGGTCACTCGGCCACCACCCACCTCCTCCTCCAACCCCCCCACCCCCCATATGCCGCATGAGCCTCCTGAGTGGAGACCTGAAGTTATTGGACGGCTGCTGCTGCCCTCCCCTCTACCTCCACTCGGAAGCATCCCACTGAGATTGGACGCTTGTGGAAATCTGGAATCCTCCCCAGCATGCCTCATTGCTCCCACGCTGTTGGCTAAGTGAAGGCATTGAATTGCTTGTCAAACGCGTGCAGCTTCCTCCCCGCTGAATACATCACGTGTACAAAATATATATGTATTTTACTTAAGAAACACGGTTACAATTTTTAACAAACTGCATTCAATGTTTAGGAATTCTGTAAAGACAGTGCGGTGTAATGGGTAAACTGCAGAACCAACTTGCACACATTCTGCGGAGACTTTGCGAAGCGTGGGTGGCATCCCTGCAACAATATTTTGGATAGGCGACGACACACTTGCACAAACACGGGCACAAGACCATCGACAGGTGGTCCCTTCCACGCGACTTCCTGCGGCGACAAAGCCAAGACACGTGTCACTCTCGTCAAACGCATGAAGAATGCTCGCTTATAAACGCCCATCGTTAATGCCGCAATGCTTATTCACAATGGTCGGCCGTCTTCCTTTTTTACAATTTATAAAGGCCCTCGGGTGAGCGTGACTTCGCATTTCGCATTTGCCATTCGGCAGCGCTATACGGACGGCGCAGTCTCGTATCTCAGAGGCCAAGGCGTCTGCAAAGCGCACACCCTTAACTCTTAAAAAGAGAACGTTTAATGTAAAAGCAAAACATGAAAAAAATGAATTGCTCGTTTGAAGTGTTATCTTGACTGGGCCCCACAGGTGTGAAGCCTGGCATTAATGAGGTTGAAAGGCATTGCTGCGATGTAATTTGATACCAGGGTGCACATCGGGTTTCAAAAACACCTCCACAAATGAATTTCTGGCACCAAATAAAAGAGGCAAATGACTGTATGAATCTCACACATTAAAAAGCGATCCTCGGAGTTTTGCACCGCATTCAAAATATAATGGGCACGGAGCTGTGAAGTGGATGGCATGGGGGCTTAGTCGCTTTACCATTATGTGAGGCTCAATTAAAGAAAGCCTCAAATATGGGCGTGCTTGACTGGGTTTTCCCACAGCGTGAAGTTACAGCACCACACGCGACTCACGGCCACACCGTCCTCACAGGCCCGGCCGAGGACTCAAAACAAACAGCGCCGCTCGTCAGAGCCGCCAAGCGCTGCCGCAACGCTTGCGAGCTCGCATGCTGCGAGCCTATTCCCCCTGGGTTATTCATTTCTCTTTCACTCATTACGAGGTTTTTAAATAACTTCTTGAGTGTCTGAGGGTGGTGTTGATGAGGCGGGGCTGTGCCAGGAGCTGTGCAGACTTATGTGGGTGGGGGTGTGCAGGCCTGGCAGATGTTTGTCAGACCCAAATCTTTGACTCAAAGTCTTTATCAGAAGTACCACCCAGGCCGCGCTTTAGCCGAACCCATAGCTGGCTTCATTATTCATGAGGTTGCAACGGGGACACCAAGAATGTGAAGAAAGTAACAAGCCAGTAAACATGCAACGTTGAGCCAACATTGATTGGTGTGTGGTTTTGACCGTTGACGCAACGCTCCACATTTAGTGGGAAGAAACCCGTCATGAGGGGAAGTCAGGTAAGGAGATGCCCACCTGCCAAAGTTATTTACACTGACAATGGAAGATTGTTTCTGAAAAATTAGATTGCAGAAAATGTACAATCTCGATATTTTTCAGATGGAATTGTTTATATAATAACCAGTGGAACATAATTACAGGAAATCATTCAATAACTTCATCGAAAAAGGGCTGCATTTTGTTTGATGTGAACTTGTGACAAGTAAGTGCGCTTGGGCAGGACACGTTGCTAGTAGGGGACGACAGCCGACGGGTCGAGATCGATGATGGAGTGGCGGCCAAAGGAGGACAAACATGGCCGAGGTGCCCGCGGTCGAGAAGAAGCGACGACGAGGACAGCTCACGCGCAGGAGCCACGCGAATTGCTGCGTCGCAAGACCGGTGGCGGGGTGGTGACAACTTGGGGTCTTCAATCGGCAGTGGATGAATCATGACGATCAATGATGATGATCGCTTCATTGCGTACACCTATTTTAAATGAACCTCAAATGGTTGCATCAAGCCCCCGTTTACTTTTTGACAAAGGCTTAGCTGCAAATGTGCACTTTGCCAAGTGGCTAAACAAGTCATGTCATCGGAACAATAATGGACGTTTCTGAAATATTTGCTGAATAAATGTATTCGTGAACAAGACAGCACAGTGCAAACAGGGAAGGGAATTCGGCATGCACAAAGTAAGAATAGATCACAGAGTGAGAATGGTAAAGAAAATCTTTATTTTTACTGCGAAAACATTTTAGCCAAAACCAACTACCGTGTCTGAAAATCACGCTCACAGGGTCAACGAACGCTTGCGGTCGGTAATTGTGAACAATTACAGCTACTGCCAGTCACTGCTCACGCTGGAGTTTCTCACTGGGGCCGAGCGATTTTAAGTCGCTGGAGATATTCCCACCTTTGCTACTCGCATCCGCAAGACGACACAGTTGTCTGCGCGATCATGACACAACTTGCCGAAGCGACGCGCGCTGCACGCTGCGACGTTCGTCTTACCGCGCGTGGAATGCATTGTCCATGAAACATTAAGTGTGCATCTTACTGAGTGCGTAACTGCTAAAGCCAAGGAGGCATCATACTCATCTGCAGTCACGAAAGCTTCAATCCTAGATTACCAAGAAGGCACCGTCGGTGAGTTTGTGTGTTCAACTCCACCGCACTCCAGCCTGGTGCAACACGACACGCAGCAGCAATTGTCATTTTGTCCGTGGTCATTCGAACTAACTAAATATACTAACTATACTCCTTGATTCTTTCGGTAAAGTCACGTAGGTATAAAATTAAAAGATTTTTTATACCTATGTGACTTTACCGAAAAAACCAAAGAGTATGGATTCCTACAGTCACGAAATAGTTATTTTTTAGAAGCGACCTGGCCACAATTGGAAGCTCAACAGAGAGGCTTATTACATGGAAATTTACAGCAGCCAAATACTCTAAACGCATGTTTCTAATAGTGGAGGGAAAAAAGCAGTGGACCACGCGACCACGGGGAGAACATGCAAACTTCAAATATACAGGCGTCAGGGTCGGGATCGGGATCGAATCCATGACCTTCTGTATACCAGGCGCGGGAGTTAACATCTCACCACCGTGGTGCCCAAACAACACACATTCAAACCACACACATATGCGCGAGAAATGTAAATAAAAAAAAATCTTGACAAGAATATTCAAATCATGGTAATTTTCAAATGTATTTGTTAAGCTTTTCAAATAAGCCTCGCTCATTAACATATTCGTTGGCAATGGGATATAAGATACAGACACTGGGCAGGCGGAGTACGGGAGGGGTCCACCCACTTTGCTAAAGCCCTGCGGTGGATCTGGTGTCCTCGGAGTGGCTCGCTGTGCTACGGCACGACGCGAATCGTCGTTTTGCCACCATCTCACTCTCACAATGTTTTGATCGCCCCCTTTGCTTGCCGCGTAAAAAGCACAGGTTTAAACGATCCTATTTACTTCAAACATAACCATCGGTGAAAATGCAGATGTAGCCTTATTTAAGAGAATGAGTCTGAAATAAATATAAATAAATATGGAACCCAGAAGGCGCAGCTCTTTGTCCAGCTGTGGCCGCAAGTCACCAGCACCGCTTGAGCACGCCGGGTGCCTCGCTCTCAGCGGGGGTCACGTCGCTCTCTCCGACGGTCGCCGGCGGCTCGCACGCCAAGTCCCTGATCATCGCTTCCAGTTCCTTTTTCGCTTTCTTCTTTTTCTTCTTCACTTTGCTCAGTTTCTGGGCTGGAGAGCTCGCTGCAGGGTGGTCGCCACCGGGTTGATGAGGAGCTTTGCCAACATACGCCGCCGGCGGGGGAGGCTGGTGCTCCTGGTCGCGCGCCAAGTTTCTGGGGTCTTCCCCGGAGAAACAGTCGCTGACGGACTCCGCTTGGGACGCGTGCGAGTGAACCATCACGTCCACGGAGCTGACGTTTTGTGGGGCGACCAACAGCAACCCACCGCCGGGAGCCTGCTCCTCTGCGGGATCGCTAAGGAAGTCCACACAATCCTCCAGGAACGAGGGATCGTCGAAGGTAGGAATGAGTGTGGCGTGAGACCTCTTCAACCTGCGCGGCTTGTTCTGGTGAGCCGCGACGGGCCTCCGCTGACGCTCCTTTGCCGGGGCTTCTGGAGATCTTGACGATGCGGTCTTCTCACCAAGTCTCCCACCAGGGAGCAGAGGCGAAGCAGCCACTTTAGCACCCGTCGTTGCAACGGCACCATTTTGGGCAGAGATCCCGTGTTTTTGTTTTGAGCCTGCCGCTGCCGGCTCTGCATGACTTTGTCCTTCGAGTCGACTCCACTGTGAGTCCTCCGCAGAGAGATTTGACACAGCCGGGCTGACCTCCGGAGAATGGAGAGGGTGCCGCGCCTGACTGGTGTCAGAGTGTGCGACACTGGAGGTGCTGCCACCGTGAAGGTCTCGGGAAATGCTCTGCGTGAGCTCGAGGTGATCGCTGGAGCAGGGGCTGTCCGCGTGGCCCATAGGCTCCTCGCCTAGCGCGCTCTCCTCACACAGCTGCAGCCTCTCGATGATCTCCAGCTCGAGCTGAGCCCTGGGTGGAAACAGAAACCACAGCCACGTTACCCCGCAGCTCGCCGACCTTGAGACACTAACACCATCGTGGGTCAGATTAGAGGTGACGTCATTTTGTTCAAACACACCGAGAGAGGGAAAGAGGAACACAATTGTCATATAGCAAACACAAATTAGACACCATATTTACAATTACGATAGGCCAAAGGGCTTGGGCAGGACACAGCGTCAGATGAAATTATGGCCGATGGACAAGACTGGTGACGAAATGCTGCAGACATGGAGCAATGAGATCAGTTGACGTGCAGGAGAGCGACGTGGATGGGAGCAGCAATGGACCGTGATGGACGGTGGCGGTGTGGAGTGGCTTTCAACCAGCAATAGATTGACAATAACCGATGGCGATACTTAACAAAGACCACGGACGAGCAGCCAGCTCCTCGTCATTACCCGGGGATCAGCGTGGTGAAGTATGAAGGGTAAGTTTCAGCATCGCGATGAAGGACGACATTTCCGTGGGGCTGTGGCCGGCGGCCGTACCTGAGAACGTGCTCCTTGTGCAGGAAGTCGGCGTCCCTCTCGCCGTGACGCCACTGCTGCAGCAGATCCCCCAGCTGCGGACAGTCGCGCTCCAGGCCCTGCTCCAGCTCCCGCTCCAGATCCAGCGCCGCCAGCTGGTAAACACGAATGGCATGGAGCGTTCGTCGCTTGCCGAGTGAATGCGCCAAGCGGCCCCGGCAATGCACGGGGCAGCCCCGGTGTACGTGCACAGCACGAACTCTTTGGTTCTTTCGGTAAAGTCACGTAGTTAGAACGTTTGTCAATCCACGGCTGGATGAGGGCCACCCCATGCCTTGCAGGGCATGTGGTTTATTTGACCATATTTCACCACGTTCGTGCATGCAGATTGGTGAAGGCAGGACTTGTAGACGCGGGGACATAGAAGTACAGGTTAAATGTCTCTGGTTTTACATTAACAGGTTAAATGTCTTTACATTAACAGATTAAATGTCTCACTAACACAGCCACCGTTGCTCGTTTTCCTCGATGTAGCGGTGGCTCTGCGATCTTACATTGACATGCTAATCTCTCACAAGACAATGGCCACCTCCGCAGCTTCGTCGTCGTGGAGGTAGCTCTCCGATCTGACATTGACATGCAAATTTCTCACTTTAACATCACTAGCCCCGCCCACGTCGCTTATGACACTTGGGCTACACCCATTTCAAACCTTTAAAACATCCTGCCTCAGCAGCTTTTCCACTATTTTTTCCCCTGATAATGATTGCTTGTGTTGCGATCGAAACGTCGTAGTTTTTAGTGTTTTTTTTTATTTGAACCTATCTACGTGACTTTACCGAAAGACCCAAGAATATAAGTACAGTACACTACAACAATGGATTATGCTGCCCTGACTTCTACTGCACCTCCAAATAACTCGGCAGTCTAGAACAATTTGACGTGCATAGTGGCCGCCTGTTAAAGGCTCTTGCCTGCTGAGCTTAGCTTTTGACATCAGATGGAGATCAGCACATAGGAGCACATAGGAGCACATAGGAGCACATAGGAGCACATAGGAGCACATAGGAGCACATAGGAGAAAAATGACTTCTTTAGATGCCTCTCAGTTCTTTCAATTGCACGATGCCTTGAGACTTTTTTTGTGAAAGGCGCCTTACAAGTACAGATAACTATTATTCCAAGTAATTATATGGGGCCCACTTGTTGTGTACGTTTTAAAATGTACCACAATTATTCGGGGGTGTAACGATCCTTGCCGCTTGGTGTGCGTAATAATGAATAACTTTACTTTCGTACATGTTATATGTATTGGTGCTCGCGCGACGCCTGCAGCCACTGGAGGCTGCTACACTCACAATATACATTTTTAAAAACATTGATTTGACTCACGACCCTGCATTATGACAAATCATCAAAGTTGAGGGGGGTAGAACTGCTCTAGCCGTGCCTTCCGATTTTAACCGGCCCTGGTAGATGTTCACGGCTCTCTAACCGAAGCACGACTCATGAAAACTGATATTTTCAGCGAGCGACACTCCACTTCGGCTTCAAAGAGCACAACCGCGAGCTTTGGCGCTGCAACAATGGCGTGAATATGATGGATGGCTCTCAAGGGAAACTCATACCATGAGACATCACACAGCCCCGCAGAGTGTTTTCATTTTTCACGAAGCCAGAAAGGGAAGGGAAGCAGCCGTATCACGTGTACATTAGTATCGGTACGCCTTCTCCATTGACCACCACTCGCCTGTTGAGACCAGAGGCTTCCCAACTTTGTTACCGCCCAACGCCTCGATATCCGAACACGAGATACGACTCGTAACGCCCCCGCCAAACCCCTCGCGACGCTTCCCAATTCCGGTGGTTTACGCGAAGGGCGCGTGTGCGGTCAAGTGGCTGAGCGCAGCACCTGTGCGCATTTGTTGAACTGCCAACGCAGTGGCGTGTGGAACGTTTGTGATCCAAGCTGCCCCGGAGTGGATTTGATTTATTGGGCTTGTGATTATTTCTGACAGCCATGTAACTCTGTTGAATTCGATACGTGTTGGTTGCATCGCCCCGCTCTCCACTCACTTGCTTACACATGCATACGCTTGTTGGCAACGTACAACAAACATTGCTTGACAGTAATTTTATAATTATAAACAGCACTTTGGCAATCCACTGCTGGATGAAGGTTTCCCCACACAATGTCAGTCAGCGCAATTTGTTTTGACCATACCACAGCCCGGCGACTTGAGTTAAATTCTCCAACGGCTAAGATCCGTGGCGGTGATATCTAAACCGGTCCTGGGTGGCCCCCCCTTCACAAACTCGCACTGACCAGCCTGGTGAAGTATGGTCAAACGTTACGTCAGTGTATGTATATTGGGTTTATAGGTTTCTACATTCATAAACTTACCAAAGACAGCTACACCTCATGTGTAAAATACAAAGCTGGAACTCGCTCTAAAGGAAATGGTAGGGGCACTTCATAGTTAATTCATCTGCGTCAGTTAACTTTGTTTTCCCAGGTGAGTACTCGAGGGACAAGGATGAAATCCCGTTTGAATCTGAATCCGATCCTGATAAAGATTCTGATTCACCGAGACGACTAAAATCGCTCACGTAAACACAAGAACAACGACGAAGCACAGAGCAATGAGAGCGGAGGCAACCAACGAGAAAGCGGTGCACAAACAACAGCTGTGCAGACGAAATGGAAACGGTGTAGGACGTGGCCAAGCACAGGCACCTCTCGATTTACGAAAGGGATGCGTTCTTCAAAAAACACACGTGTAAAGCGAAATTTCTTAAATTGGAATGGCTTTGCCCGTTCATTTCATACAAAAAATTAGGGATGTGTTTTGGACATTCCAACTTTACTCCAAACCTAAAAATATAATACACCGATATCATTTTTCACGATACAAAACATAATAATAAAGAATATAGATATCAAAACGATTTAATCATAAGTAGACAAAAATTATTAAGCTTTTCAGGAAAAGTCACCAAAACATCTACATGTTGGAATAGCTCGGAAAGGCGATGTGGAAGCATTACTTTTGCACTGTAGGGATACCGTGACGTTGGAGCGGATGGATGATGCAGCCTCCCAGGTGCTTCTCGTTTGATGATCTTATGGTGTGTGCCATGTTACATTTCGTTCACATGAAAATTCGATTTTGATAATGGAAAAATGGCCATAATTTGTCAATTGCGTGAATGTGAAATTTCGTAAACCTGTATCAAATTTCCTGGAATGAAAGTTGAATCGGACAAAGTATGTTGACGAACCATTCAGAGTCAAATTAACTAAAAGAAATATCAACACAGATTCAGGGTGAATATTGCACGAGTGTGTAAGCAGACAGGGGACGTGTGCGTGAGCTGCCCCCCATGCCGGCGCAGGGACGGGGTGCACCCTGGGTAAACCTGAGAGCCGTGAGCGCAGGAGCCCTCGGAGGCCGAGTTGTAGGCGTTGTCCTCGTCCAGGTAGTTGGGAGGCTTCGGCTGCAGCGAGTGGTGGAGGCTGTTTGTGAGCGCGTTCATGCGGAACAGCAGCTCGTCCACCTGGCCCTCAAACTCCTCCAGCATGAGACCCTACACGGGCGCACATGCACACATGCACGCACACAAAAAAACAAAGACAAATATCCCACATATAGCCTTCACAGACTGTTGGGGCAAGTGCTGTTAGCGAGCACCTTTGAAGGCTGGCACGGCATATGAGGGGTTGGTGGCCAACACCACGCCCAGCCGCCTTTGTCTCCCCAGTGGCGATGTTTACACACCGCACCAGGTACTAATTTGAGGCTGAGTCGACCTAGGGATGCCCAGGACCGGTTAAGATAATCGTCACTGGTGTTGGCTGTGAGCGGGAATCGAACCCGGATCGCTGGGTTCATAGCGCAGCGCGCTAGCCGCTACACCACCGCTCCCCACAACACACGCATACACCCGCACACACGCACTCGCACACACACGCACAAACGCACACATGCAAGCACACGCGTGCACACACACATGCAAGCACACACGCGAGCACGCGCACAGGATGAGACCACACGGTTACTCCACTTACGTACGGGGTTGAATATAACGTCAAAAACAACGAAGAACAACAATGGCTACCATTTGTCACCAGGTGGTGGTGATGCCATCATGGCGCTTGTGCCAGGGTAGGTGCACTGTGAGGCAATGTGAAGTGAAAGGCTCATTAGCAGAAGGGTCATGGGACAAGCCCAGGTGTCATGGTGTAATGGACCAAGATGACGAGCACGTGCACCACCTGTGCTGCCCGCTGTGCCAACTTGCTGCGTTTAAGCCACCTGGCGCTCTGCCCATGTACCAAGTGAGCATTGCTGCTTCAACCACATCAAAGATTTCCCGCATAGCCTATGTCGAGAGTTGTATCCTGCAACTACTTTTTGTGAGCACCTATTGAGGCCGGTACAGCACACGACGGGGTGGTGTGGCTAAAATCACACCTGGCCACCTTTGTCTTCCCAGAGCTCATGCTTACACACTTGCACCAGATGCTTATTTATGGCTGTGGACCAATTCAGATTATGCCACTGATGATGGCCATGGCCGGGAATCGAACTCAGGCCACCGCAATTCATAGCGGAGCATGCGCCACCTCTCCAACCATTTATAAAAAACACACACATGCAAGAACGCGACACTGGCACGCACACTGGGGTGACAGGGGCATCAGAGACACTCAGCAGGATGCGAGGCCCACCGGCGGAACGGGCGGCTCGAGATCCTGCGATGGAACCCTTCGGCCCAGCAGCACGGCGAGCTCGCGCAGCAAGAACCCGGCCACGTCGCGTGGCCACACCACGTGCCTCCTCCGCAGGGCTGCGCGGCGAGCCCGCCGCATGACGCCTCGCAGGACGCTGTAGAGCTGCACGCGACGCAGCCACGGGGAGAGTCACAGGGTGAGATACAGCTTCCAGCTCTGGAAGTTTAACTACCCATCATCAATGGCCATGGTCAATCCACTGCCGGGTGAAGGCCTCCCAAAGCCGTCGCTATCTCTCGCGGTCCTGCGATGTAGCAATCTACCCAGCACCTGCACATGAACTTATTTCATCTCTGTATTTCTGAGTTCTCCATGTCAGTGTCTTAACCAACCTATACTTTATGATGTGATGCGAGTGATGCATTGAACTTAACTGCAATCGCTATTAGGTGCACATGGACTCCCGTGGAGACCCGCAGTCTCACGTAGAGACCCATACCATGCAATGTAACGGGATGTGGGTAATGGCTTTCATTTCACCGCAGTCACAATAAGACGACTTCTTAATTCCCCACTCACGCGGTGGTTAAACGCCTGAGTAAATCAGCCGAGCGGATGACAGCAGCAGCGCGGTGAGTGTGGGGCGTCTCTCACAACGGCGATCCAGAGGAGACCTCCGGCGAGGAGGAAGGTGACGTAGAACGCAGCGGCTCCCTCGGAGCGGGAGAGGGCCGAGACGTGGCGCGTGCCGCTGGCGCCCAGCGGGGTCAGCAGAAGTGTTTCCCAGGCCGACAGCAGATCCACGTAGGCGCGTGTCAACCTCCCGAAGCACACGTAGCCCAGGCTGGAGAAGGCCAGTAGCAGCAGTGCCAGGCACAGCTGGAACGAGCACAGCAACGTGGTCTCTGTGATGCGCGCTAAGCCAGACATCTTGAAGGCTCGTGTTTGATAGAGCCGCCCTCCTTCATATCAGGTCGTCTCAGAGCGCTTTGCGCTCGATATGCAACTTGCATTGCATGTCATCCCGACACATTTCAAAGCGCAAACCCGTTGGCAGCCGTCCCTATGTGGCGCATGGTGCCTCGGCACTTGGCCTGCAAGCAGGGGGCGATGAATTGCCCACGCGTGATCCCAATGAACTTCTGTACATCATGGGACCTCTCTTGCCAATAAAAAATATAAGAATAGGTTTTACCCTTTCTGGCAATAAAACAGTTGTTAAGATGTTAAAACACCAAACTGAAACCTTGTGCAAAGAATCATGTCCGCATTAACCACATATACTTGTGGTGAACATGCACGTCTGCACATTGGTTCAGCCTAAATGTCGCGAGCGCAGTCTTGCAGCGCGGTGCTCGTGTGAGAAGAGGCGCTCACCACGAGCGGGGGGAGGTGTGTGCGCCCGAAGTTCAGGGGTGACAGACACACGGCCATGGGGCCCAAGCAGCGCAGCGCGTGCAGCGTCCGCACCAGCAGCAGAAAGAGCACCACCGCCGAGAGCCAGCGAGACGTCTGCGGGAGCACGGGGAGACCCCACGATGAGTTACGGTCACGATGGACTCCACTGATAATGCGTTCACCGTGCGAGCACATATGGCGACTTGCACGCAATTAACATCAACCTCTGACAAGGGAACAAAAGCAAATGGTGTGGCAACGACCGCCGTTGAAGGCTGCCCTGGTGCATTATGGTCTAAAGTAGAGCGCCCAGGTAAGGCAGGGTGATAAATACCACAGGAGGTGTGCTCCGCTAGTAATGGCGCAGGTCACGCTTCTCACGTCGCCTGCTGGTCCACTCATTATGTGCAGAAGGTTTTGCCCATTAACATTGTTCTAAACTCTACAATTTGGATTTTAATAGCATCTCAATGCAACTGCATTTCAAGACACTAGCAATAACATCGTGCGACAACAGTCATACTGATACAAAGACAATAGCGTTGCAGATATTACTAACTTATGCCATTCCTGTTAGCATAAATCTACCCAAACCCCGTTTGTAATATGACTCCACTGACAACACACGCTTGGCTTGCCACGGTTGCATATACACAGGAGACATTCGCGGCTGTCAAATTAATCCCCGATGATGATGCGCTGGAAAAATGAGCGCCCGATGAATAAAACACAGAACCTGATCCCACGCGGCCAGAGGGCCCACGTCCAGCGTTGCCTCCAGGAAGGTCACCTCCAGGTACTCGATCAGCGTCATTGCCACCACGAAGCGGTTCACATAAACCGCAAAGTGGGCGAGCGCCACCACCACCATGCCGGCCTGTGACCCACAGCAGAGCGTGGCGCGCGCGGTTAGGCGCCGCTCCAGGCATGAGACGGCCCACAGCTCACAGGAGGGAAGGCTAGGGGATGAGCTGCAGCAACAATGACACGCGCAGCATTCACATCATCCGCAACGAGCGGGCGATGCGAAGCTAAGAAGTTAAGGAGGGCTTGAGTCTGGATAGTGCTTTGATGGGTCGTCACCATTCACGCCACGTTGTTGTAGGCTGCTGTGGGTATACTCTGTCGGCAGCAGAGAGCGGTGCAGCAACATCCATTATTGTACTGTAATTATATGCTCCAGTATCTCTGCACTCCACCTTCAACAACCCGCACTTACCAGCCCGGTAATTTACGGTCGAATAACCCCCACAACCCACGTGGTGTGTAAACGCCCCCCACCCTATCCAGCAGTGGATTAACAAGGGATACATTTAGGTTAATTGGAGGGCAAAACATTTCGCTGTAAAGATTCAAACAAATCTACTGAGGGTCGAAATCACGTAGCTTCACTGACCTCCAGCCAGTTCCATGGCTCGGAGCAGTGAGCCACGAGCCCACGGTCACTCAGGCGGCACAGCTGCAGGTACAGCTGGAACAGGATGAGTACCAGGAACAGCAACTGCAAAGCGGGAGGCACAGGCGTCATCGCGCGCACACACCTGGCCCATCTCGCAGCGTTGTTGCACAGGGGCACTCTCTGCCGCACGAGCCATCGCGTTCTTTAAAACATAACAATTATTGGGCAAGAGTATTGTAGTGGTTCGCAGCCTGTTTGCGCGCGAACTTCACGAGGACAAATGTGCAATTGTCCGGGTGAGGAGTACCTCGCAGATCATGGTGGCATAGTTGAGCGGTGTGCCGAGCTTGTAGAGGCGAGCAGACTGTACGCCGATGCTAGGCCGTTCCCCCGGCAAAGAGGGCACGCGCGCTAGCAGCGCCACGCTGACGAACAGCTGGGATGGCGGGCTGTAGAGTGCCAACTCCACCAGGACAGAGGCCCGAGAGGCCTGGTCCAGCCAGCCGGCCGCCCGCAGCCCGCTCAGCACCCCCAACGCCTCAGCCCTGCGAGCAAAAAACAAACCGCGGGATATGACTGCGGGTGTCGTGACGGTTGAGCGGATCTCAACTCAAGGAAGGCAAAAACATAATGTGACATTTGAAATTGGGACACGTGAGTGATCGTTGCTGCAGCTCATGTTTGTACAGTACAAGTACAGTATGGTGGCATCCCGTCAGACTTACTGAGTGCTGCCGAGGCTGATGGCTGCGGTTGGCGACAGCTCCGCACAGCCCTGGACAAAAAAACAAATGGAACAAGACGTTCACTGGACCCGTCGAAAATAAACCCGACGCTGTCGTCTATCAGCCTCAGCAAAGCTCGCACGGCCTGCACAGCCCGGTTCTGCTGTGTCACAGATGCTGCAAAATGTTTTTCAATTTGTTCTCAATAAGTTTCCAAAAATGCCGACGCAAGGTTCGCGAGTCTCACCGTGCAGCTCGGGCCGTCGATGTCCCGGCGCCTCACCGAGGGCTGGCCTACGAGGTGATAGTTCCCCTGCAGCGGCCCCACCTGCACAGGGGACACGCAGACTAGAGAGCCGCACGACGAGCTGGAGAAAGTGCCGGCCACCGCCCTCCTGCGCTCTTGACACCATGCAGCTCAGCCTCTGTTATCCGTGCGCGGATTTTCGAGGTCGCTGAAAATCCGCGCTAGTTTGCAAAATTTGACTCGCACGCTGGTTTAATCATCATCTGCTCCTCACTTATCACAGCGCATGCGCTTCAGAAAGTAAACTGCTTGCTTAACAATAAAGCTCATGTATTATATGTTTTCACAACAAATCTACGCATGATAACAATAAAAAGCTTCCTAGCCTAATCAATATATATTTTTTACATTATCTTTGTAGCACGATAGAAATGCATATTAGGTTTGTTTATATAAGGTCACCAGTTGCTGTGGGGTTTGGGGCAGTAGGTGGCTAAATGGAGGCCTGGTGCAGACCTGCTCGGTGAGATTTTCACGTCGTTGCGTTTTACAGATATTAAAAATAAATGTGCTGGCGTCGAACTGGGGCCCCTCAACTCCTCGTTTATAAAGGGCAACAGACGCATTTTTGTTCTATCTGGGTCATCCCTCACGCCCTCCTGTTACCCCTAGATGATCAGGAGTTGACTGTCACCGGTTAGTATGGCACCGACCAACAACCACGTTAAACCGCAGCTGCGGCTAGATTTGGAATCCGTCACATCGCTCTGCGCTGCCTGCCACCGCGTGCGGCGTTGCGTGCCTGCGGAGCGTGCCTGCGGAGCGTTAATGGCGGAGCACGACGGCACGTGGGGGAGACGTTGCCGTGGCCGGGATGTGTTCGAGTGCGGGGGGGGGGCCTTGCGCCCGGGCACACCTCCCGGCTCCCCGTGGGCGGTGGCGCCTCGCCGCCGTTTGTGCTCTCCCGCCGCATACAGCGAGTCCACCATGGCCGCCTCGCTCCAGTGCCACCACTCGTCAGCCGTGCGCACGCCCAGGAACGAGGTCTCCGCACTCCTGAAGGGAAAGGCCGTGGAGAAGGCCGGCTCAGAGAAAGCACCTCCTCCACCCCGGACGCAAAGGCGTCCGGGGTACACTTAATCCCCGCGGGGTTTATAAGAGGCTACCGATAAACACCAACTTGGCAGCGCATACTGCCGATATACATACCAAATACATACCCAGTCTATTTCATAACCATACACATTCATGCTGCTGCATCTACGAGTAACTTACGGTCTTCTATAAATACTTTGGGGGTAGTGGTGGCGCAGTGATTTGACCGCCGCACTATGAACACGGTCACCTGAATTCAATTTCCAGGCCAGGGCGAACGTCAGTGGCGAGTGATATCAGAACAAGTCCTGAGTCTCGTTTTCCTTAACCCACAATACCCAGCATGGAAAAGTATGGTCAAAAATCCCTCATCGTGTGTGGAGGCCTTCATCCAGCAGTGGAATACATTAAGTATAATCTAGGCACAAGTGTGCATATGACACACAGGCTTGTTCTAAGGGTAATTAATTATACCATTGGAGTGCATTTTGCATCCCAAGGTTACATTTTATATCAACAACTATTTTATCCTAACCGACGCATCATGATGCATTCTGTAATTTACATTGAAAGTTTTCAGGGGTAAAAAAATACACGGAGAAATAACCCCATGTTGGACAATGGTGAGTTCCCCAACATAATGCAGAATTTTTAATTCATACCTGGTCTCGTCATAAACAACATCAGATTCCAGGCCCTAATGCAGCCACACACATTAACGTTGCTCGAATACAAATAAATTGTTCTTTGAATTTATGCGGAGCTCCTTCTCGTACTTTAAAGTTAGAACCCCGGAGACTGCCTTTGGGTTACATCAGAGCGAAGGTAGCCGAATCTCCGACATAATCAATGGAGTAACATTTCACAACCAAACTTGCAAAAGCGATTGAGCCCCCATGGGCTTTATTTCCAGCCGTCACATCTCTGCAATCACAATTCCTTCATGGCTCTAGCGGTTCCCAAGAAGCGCTTGGAATCAATGTGAATGGGAAGAAAGTGGCGGGCACGGGCGGGGGGGGGGGGGCACCTGTTGAAGTGACCGCGGATGGCTCGCTGCAGGTAGAACTCGTCGGTGGAGAACTCGGCAAACGTCGCGAAGGCCAGGAGCGAGAGCATGAGGACATAGAGGCAGCAGCTCCTGGGAACGAGCACGAACACGGCCACATTGAGGAGGCTTGCTCCGTCACAATGGTGTCCGTTCGCCCTCCCCACGCCGACGGCAGCGGATACGGTCACTGCTGGCATTGCCGCAGCTGCACGCCGGTGAAGCAGGAAAACACTCCCGGGCCGGTTGCAGAGTATGTTACTAAGCGGGAACACACCCGTTATCTCAGATGATAGGTAGGTTGGGAGCCTGGTTGGTATTTGGATGACCAGGAGAAGGCAGTGCAGTATTTTATCATTGAATCTGTCTTATGCAGACCTTTCAGTCTTATTCCTTTACACGCGTGAGTTCACTCCAAGTACTCCAGTTTCCTCACACGTGAAACCCCTTTGGTTCATGCAATTAGGCATAGATCCCAATAATGGAGATTTGTAAAAAAAAAAAAGAGGCTTAGGCCTCGTTTGTTTTTCTTTCTTGTAAATGCACTTGTGGAATTGTAAAGTTGCCAGCAACAAAGAGCACTATCAAAGTTGTAATAGGAAGGAAGTGACACGTTCGTTCAATGGAGCAATATTATAAGAGCTAGAGTGAGGATTTCCTGGGCAAATGAAGGGCATGAGGAGTTCCTTCCCTCGGTGTCGTGGTGCCCAGCTAGCCAAGAGGTGATGGAGCGTGCCTGAGAGGACGCCCACTGCAGAGATGGGAGCAATCCAATCAGCTGGTGCGTGCGCGCGTGCCAGGTGGATTATTACTACATTGCGGGACCGTGGGTAGCGACGGCAGCTTGGGGGTGGGGGGGAGGGGGGGGGCTTCATTCAGCTGTGGATTGATAATGCCTGCTACTGCTGCTGACGATGACGATGCTGACGATGATGATGCTGACGACGATGATGATGTTGATGATGATGATGCTGATCGGGGATGCCGATTGTCGTGCACATCCCCGGGGTGGGTGTGGAGGAGGCCGGCGCTCACCGGAGCGAGCGCACCACGAGGCGGCGCAGGCGCAGGCGCTCGCGGCACCGCTTGAGCTGCTCGCGGCTCGGGGGCCGCGCCAGGCGGAGGTGGCGTGCGCGCCGTCGGGCCGCCAGGCTCTAGCGTGCCCACCGCGGGCCGCGGGGGGAGAGGGGGCAAGGGTGGGAACAGGGAGGTAGTGGAGCCCAGGGTGACGCACACAAAGATAAGGACGTGGATCCCCCAGTATAGCCTTAACAGACTGTTGGGGCAAGTGCCGTTAGCGATTAGCAGCTATGAAGGCTGGAACGGCAAACAAGGGGGTGGGTTGCCAGCACCACGCCCGGCCACCTTTGTCTCCCTCGTGGCAACGTCTTTACACACACAAGCGTGAGTTTATCTGGCTACCCAGAGTCATCCTCATAACCGAGGATTGATGGCTCTGACAGATGATTTCCATATTTCGTCATCTTCAGCGTCTGTTCTCGTGCTCACATTATCCCACAAATTGCTCCGTTTCCTTCCTCTTCTCCTCCCCCCCCCCAATTTTCCCTTGAGGAATCATCTTCGTCACTTCGCCAGCTGTGGAGATGATCTGCATAAGCCACCTTCCTTCTCACGAGATTTCCCGGTAAATCAAGAACGATTTCTCTGAAATTTTAGGAGAAACCGTGGTGCCTCAACTTTGCAACAGCTACCCGCCTTGGGTTGGTTGCTTACCTTGGAGATGTCCGTGAAGTCCTGCGGGTTGCCGTGTGAGTGAGAAGCAGCACGGCCCATGAGCTTGGTCCTCCAGGTGTCGACGGGACAGGTGGCGTCCAGGCACTGAGCCTGCAGGCACTGGGCGTCTCTCCGCCACCATACCGTCACGGCAAGCGCCGCCAACACCAACTACAGAACCCGCGAGAATAGTGGTTTGCTAGAAAGCCGCTGCATGCCGCGCTAGAGACGTAGACGCTCGCGAACACCGAGGCCCGCGTGATGGGGTGCAGTGGTCACTTACTACCGCCGGCTGAATGATGAAGAAGCAGACGACGAGGGAAAAGAAGAACGAGTGCGTCCATGCCATGCACTTGGAGCGGCTGAACCTGCAGGGGACATCACGCACGCTGTCAGAGCTCTCCGTTCGCGATGCTTGGCAAGCGCGCGGGGACTTCTCAACAACCACAAATTCAATCAATAGAGAGAGAGAGACTAACACTGAAACATCATCAGCAGATACTAACAAATATGAACAGACAGGCACCAAAATAAAATAACGTGACCCACGCACAATCCAGCAAGAGATCTGTGGGAATAGGATTTGGGGGGGTGGGGGGCGGAGACGTCTGACCGAGCTTCACCTGAACCCCAGGACGGCGGTGGCAGCGGCCGAGGCCAGGCCGAGCAGGATGCAGAGCATCCAGGCGAGGTAACAGCAGCGCGACGGCAGCCGCACCCGGGCCCCGACGCCGCGACCTCGCCCGTACAGGCTGCTGCCATCTGGGGGTGGCGAGAGGCACGGGGGTCCGGTGAATCATCGTCATTTACGCAGCCCGCTCCTTCGGCGGTGGACCAAATGGAGGCCGCACGCGGCGAATGGCGATCGCACACCAGGGGACAGAGAAAGGCAACCGCACCGGAGAAGTCAGAGTGCAAGTCCGAGGAGCTCTCCCCGGGGCACGTCCGCCTCCCCCCCGAGGGCTTCCCCTGCTCCTGGGAGCTGCCGTCCTCAAAGCCGCTCGAGTCTCCCTCCGAGGGGCAGCGCGGGGCGGCGCTCCCTAGCACCGGCTCCGCGCCCTGCCCTTGGCTCCCATTGCCGGGAAGACCCCGGCTCTGCCGCACCCCGGCGGGCCTCTGCTCGGGAGCCCCGACCGTTTCTTGGAGGTGCCTGGCCGCCCGATTCCGTGGCGGCGGGCACGGGGCTCGGCCTCTTGGCGCCGGTCACGCTCGCGAGGTCCGAGTCCCCGAACTCGCTGAGCCCGTCCTCCACGGAAGACTGCAACCGCACACGGGCCCCCCAGTCACGCATCCGGAGATGGTAAAATGAGCAAGGATTTGGTCGAGCTAGGACTGGCACGAATAATAATTTATCGATGAGACGACGCGATTGTGGGTGAGGGAGAAGCGATGCGTGTTTTTCGGTGCTCGTGACAAGGGAGGTGTTTCACAAGGAGGACCTCGTGCTTCTTCCTCCACGCCTCCTGCGCCCACTGCTGCAGGCTCTGCCACGACAAGTAGGAATCGGCGCCGCTGTCTCCAGCCGTTAGGCTCGGACTGCCCCTGGCTGCATTACGCGCACACGCGAGGTCATCACACGCACGGTTATCACATGCACGGTCATCACACGCATGCACGCACGCGGTCATCACACGCACAAGCACAGTCAACACGCACACGTGCGGTCATTACGCACGGTCATCACACGCATGCACGAACGCAGTCATCACACGCACGCACGCACGCGTGCGAGGTCCTAACACGCACACGCGCCGTCATCACATTAACACACTGAGCATAAAATGTGTGACGATCGACCTCCCCCAGAGATCCCATGAATCGTCACAATCCGCAGTCAGAAGTAAATGTAAACGTAAACATCTGTATTACTTTGTTTCCTTTTCACCATGTCATTCGTATTCTCAGTTATTCGGCTTTTTACCAAGATTTTGTTTGCCCAATTATCCTATACGTTACATCAGTGTATCATTAGCAAAGCATTTGCATGCAGAGCCATTAAACCATCCTCCCCCACATAATTCAATGCATGCAGCGTGAGTGTAAGGATCAATGCAATGCTCGCTCACAATTGGAATATACACAGCGATCGTTTCACTCAAAGTAAATTATTTTTATTTTACCAGGTAAGGCCCACTGAGCTATGTAGTTCTTTTTCAGAAGCGACCTGGCCACAAATGATAGCTCAACCAAGTGGTTTGTCACGTGGAAATTTATAGCAGCCAAATACTCCAAACGCATGTTTTTTAAATGTGGAGGGAAAATGTGGACGAGAAAAATCCACGCCACCGTGGCACTGCGCGCCCTACTGCAAATATGTGGCAGGACCCTCCTGAAAAATAGTCGTGAGTCTCAGTGAGGCTTTTCCAGGTAGAAGAGCTTAGCAACAAACAAGGCGACTGAGCACTCGGCGAGGGGTGCACAGAGTGAGGCTGCCGCTGTTGTGGTGCGAGCCGCTGTTGTGGAGGGACTCCCCCCCCCTCCCCCCCAAGTACCGGCGTGCGTCTCCTGCAGCTGCTTGAGCTTGTACTGCTCCAGGATGGAGTGAGCGCAGCCCCTGTCAACCTACACAGCAACACACAACGCAACTCTACAGCAAGTCTACAGTAACGCAGCAAGGCAGCAACTCAGTCTACTGTAACTCAAATAAAAATTTATGATTTGGAAAATTACATTCATAGAGTCCCAGACAACATGTGATGAAGTTTAAACATGAATTGCTCATCTCGTATTTACCCTTCACTGTAAGGGTTTCACTATGAATGAAATTAATTACGCTCACATTGCCTCCATCAAATAATGAGTGTGAAAATATACGGTATTTATTATTTATGCAAGTTATATAAAAATGAAATGCTAATGCGACATCCGGGCTAACTTAGAAAACAAAACTGTACGAAAGAAACCACAATGAAATGGATACAAAAAATAGGATTTGGAAAATGAATAATGGGCCTGAATTGTGAGAATCCTCTCAATGCCTTTGGAGGATTGAACTGTTCCATGGCGTTTTGACGGAGCCACACGACCTCGCTCCGACCCACCACGCTCCCCACCACCACGCTTCCCACCACCACGCTTCCCACCACGCTCTGCACCAGCACGCTCCGCACCGCCACGCTCTGCACCACCACGCTCCCCACCACCACGCTCCCCACCACCACGCTCTGCACCACCACGCTCTGCACCACCACGCTCCGCACCACCACGCTCTGCACCACCACGCTCTGCACCACCACGCTCTGCACCACCACGCTCCGCACCACCACGCTCCGCACCGCCACGCTCCGCACCGCCACGCTCCGCACCGCCACGCTCTGCACCACCACGCTTCCCACCACGCTCCGCACCGCCACGCTCTGCACCACCACGCTTCCCACCACGCTCCGCACCGCCACGCTCCCCACCACCACGCTTCCCACCACGCTCCGCACCGCCACGCTCTGCACCACCACGCTTCCCACCACGCTCCGCACCGCCACGCTCCCCACCACCACGCTTCCCACCACGCTCCGCACCACCACGCTCCGCACCACCACGCTCCGCATCGCCACGCTCTGCACCGCCACGCTCCGCATCGCCACGCTCCGCACCACCACGCTTCCCACCACGCTCCGCACCGCCACGCTCCGCACCGCCACGCTCCACACCACCACGCTCCACACCGCCACGCTCTGCACCGCCACGCTCCACACCGCCACGCTCCGCATCGCCACGCTCCGCACCACCACGCTCCACACCGCCACGCTCCGCACCGCCACGCTCCGCACCGCCACGCTCCACACCACCACGCTCCGCACCGCCACGCTCCACACCACCACGCTCCACACCGCCACGCTCTGCACCGCCACGCTCCACACCGCCACGCTCCGCACCGCCACGCTCCACACCACCACGCTCCACACCGCCACGCTCCGCACCGCCACGCTCCACACCACCACGCTCCACACCGCCACGCTCTGCACCGCCACGCTCCACACCGCCACGCTCCGCACCGCCGCGCTCCGCACCGCCACACTCTGCACCGCCACGCTCCGCACCGCCACACTCTGCACCGCCACGCTCCGCACCGCCACACTCCGCACCGCCACGCTCCACACCACCACGCTCCACACCGCCACGCTCCACACCGCCACGCTCTGCACCGCCACGCTCCACACCACCACACTCCGCACCGCCACGCTCCACACCGCCACGCTCCACACCGCCACGCTCCACACCGCCACGCTCCACACCGCCACGCTCCGCACCGCCACGCTCCACACCACCACGCTCCACACCGCCACGCTCTGCACCGCCACGCTCCGCACCGCCGCGCTCCGCACCGCCACACTCTGCACCGCCACGCTCCGCACCGCCACACTCTGCACCGCCACGCTCCGCACCGCCACGCTCCACACCACCACGCTCCGCACCGCCACACTCTGCACCGCCACGCTCCGCACCGCCACACTCCGCACCGCCACGCTCCACACGAACCTGGCTCCAGCGGAAGAGAAGGGAAACGAGCCCAGCGAGCGGGAGCACCACGGCGGAGCAGAGCAGGCCGACCACGAGCGACTCGAGCGACACCTCCACGCGACCCAGCTCCACCGCGTGCTGCTCAAACAGCACACACAGTAGTAACACAGCAGTACACACACAGCACACACAGCACATACAGTAGTAACACAGCAGTACACACACAGCACACACAGCACATACAGTAGTAACACAGCAGTACACACACAGCACACACAGCACATACAGTAGTAACACAGCAGTACACACACAGCACACACAGCACATACAGTAGTAACACAGCAGTACACACACAGCACACACAGCACATACAGTAGTAACACAGCAGTACACACACAGCACACACAGCACATACAGTAGTAACACAGCAGTACACACACAGCACACACAGCACATACAGTAGTAACACAGCAGTACACACACAGCACACACAGTAGTAACACAGCAGTACACAGTAGTGACACAGCAGTACACACACAGCAGTAGCACGCACAGCACACACAGTCGTAACACAGCAGTACACACACAGCACACACAGTAGTAACACAGCAGTACACACACAGCAGTACACAGTAGTAACACAGCAGTACACACACAGCAGACACAGTAGTAACACAGCAGTACACACACAGCAGTACACACACAGCGGTAGAGACACAGCAGCAAAGCAGAAAACAACAGCAATTAGAATAGCACAAATGCATAGCAACACCAGCAGCACATCTACAGAAACACACACAGTAGCAGGCTAGCAGCACACAACAGTAGCAAAGACAAAGATCTCCAAAATAGCTTGGCAAGACTGTTGGGACAAGTGCTATTAGCGAGCACCTATGAAGGCCGGAATGGCACACGAGGGGGTGGGTGGCCAGCACCACGCCGCCTTTGTCTCACCAGTGGTAATGTTTTACACACCACATCAGGTGCTCATTTGAGGCCGAGTTGACCTAGGGTAGGCCCAGCACTGATTCAGATAACCGTCACTGATGGTGTTGGTGGCCTTGAGTGGGAATTGAACTCGGGTCGCCGAGTTCGTAGCACAGAGGGCTAACCGTTACACTACCACATCCCCAGACAACAGTAACATACACAGTGAGACACACACCAGGGCACACACAGCAACACGTGAGCAAAACACAAATAGCAGCAGACAGAGCAGACACTGCACAACACACAGACTGTTAGAGAAAATTCTCTAAGCGAACACCTATGAAGGCCGGCACAGTACACGAGGGGTTCGGTGGCCAGCACTACGCCCGGCCGCCTTTGTCTCCCTTGTGGCAACATTTGCACACCGCATAAGGTACTCATTTAAGTCGACCTAGGGGTGGCCCAGGACCGGTTCAGATAATCATCACTGGTATTGGCCGGTCACCAGGTTCGTAGTGAAGTGCGCTAACCACTGCACTACCGCTCCCGTCAAGAGCAAACATACACAAGCAATACGCACAGCAGCACACACAAGCAGCAGTGCACGAACACACAACACAACAACGGTTGCTTCAAAGCGCACCTAGCCTGGCACAAGGACTGTGGTGGCATCAATGCCACTTAGTGATGGATAGTGATTTTGTGCTGATTATGCATGCACGCACGTGAGTGCACCTGTGTGCGAGTGCGTTGTGCGCATGTGAATGCGAAGGTATGTGTTCGAGTGTGCGTCTGTGTGTGCGTGTACGTGCCTGTTTGTGTGTGTACGCTCGCGTGTGAGTGTACACACGCTTGTGTGTGTACGGGCATGTGTGTGTGAGTGTACATTCGTGTGTGTGTGTGCATGCGCGTGTGTGTGTACGCGCATGTGTGAGTTTACGCACGCGTGTGTGTGTATACGTGCATGTGTGTGTGAGTGTACGCACGTGTATGAGCGTACGCGCGTGTGTGCATGTACGCGTGCACAATGAACGTGTGTGTGCGTGCACTGCGCGTGTGTCTGTGCGTGCACGCGTGTGTGTGTATACGTGCATGTGTGTGTGCGTGCATGCGCGTGTGTGTGCGTGCACGCGCGTGTGTCTGTGCGTGCACGCGTGTGCGTTTGCACGTTGGCAGCGCCGCACTTTGTCCTCCCTGAGGGCGACCACCAGCGCGTTGGCCCCGGCGTACGCGAGCAGCAGGCAGAGGCACACGGAGAGGCGCTGCGTGTGCGTGAAGCGGCTGCAGGAGGGGCGGCTGTACACTGACGCCCACAAGTGGAAGTCCTCGAGGTAGGCGGTGACCTTGCTGTACAGCAGCTGAGGGAGGGACGGCCCGGCACAAGAGAACGGACGAGGGCACGACATAAACGAGTTAAACGTGAGCTGCGTCAAATGGCCTCCGTCTTGCTGACGAGCGCATTTCGCCGTCGTGCTGAGTGGACGCGAGGGCGGCCGTCTCAAGAGCGGCCAGCAAAGCGACAACGGCGAGAGGACGGCGCACGCTCTCAAGGCGACGGGCGACAGCCGTGCGAACATTGGTTAAGTCCACACCCAGCACGGTCAATATTCACAACCAGTGTTGCAGCAATTTCAGGAGCCGAGGTGGATACACACGGACAATCCATCTGCACGATGAGAAACTCTTTGTTGTGGCTTCAACAACTTGTTTTGTCCGAGTTCGTTCGACGCGGCTCGCTAAACTAATGGGGACGTTTGACCCTTTTAAACGTCAAGTGAAATACCAGCAGCCGGTGACCCGGGTCCGTGTACCTCGACAGAGCGTTCATAGCAGAGATCGCGCACCTCGTGAAACGGGAGTCACCCCCGAGCCAGACGTTAACATTGGGACGACCGTGAGACGTAGCGGGTAATGGAAAGTGGTGGTGGCATCGGCATCAGTAGTCACGCCGACATGTTGACCATAACCTTGCTCAGTCATCTTGATGATCATCAGCCATTGTCTATGGACCGCTGCACGAGGGCCTCTCCACACCATTGCCATAGAGCCCTTTGCGAGCCGCTGTACTTGCGGCGCCTCGGCCGCGGCATCCCAGCTCACCGCGGTGAAGCGCAGAGCGCCACTGAGCGCCAGCAGCTCCCGCTCGACCCTGCCGTCGCCGCGCTCCGCCGCCAGCCAGCACTCAGCCGGGAAGAGCCAGGCCGAGCCGCTCCACAGGTCGCGCACCGTCACGCGGCTCACGAACCAGCTGGGGGACGCGCCGCGGTTGTTGTGCCACAGGTGCAGCTTCCAGATGGGGCCCAGACTGTCGGGGACACTGAGGGGGGTAGGCGGAGACATCGACGGGGGGGGGGGGGGCGTGTCAACGGGAAGCCAACACGTTTTACCTGGCGGTCGTTGCTACTTTGGACACGACCGCTCACACAGCTGAAAACAGTTATTCCAGTCAATGAAATGAGTCGAAGTGATTTTTTTATTGCTTAACTGAGCACCGAGACGGCGCTCATATCCCCGTTTACAGCCCGAAGTCAGTGGTGGAAATTCCTCATTACTATGGTGGGGGCGAGTCTATCCATTGCACTGTTGACTTCCCGACAAAGTGGTGCTCGTTTTTACCCACCGTGGAGGGATGGCGGGCCGAGTCAACCCCCAATCAGTGTTGGAACTCGCAACCTGCCGATTGCGAGTCGCCTGGCCACCCGCCAATGCATATTTCACATTCATGAATTTCATTAACGTAAATGTTCATCTGCAAATAGCATTGTACGTTGTACGTGAACATAACAGGGACGGCCTCGAGCTGCTTGTGTGCATGGGAGCGTGCGCGGGAGAGGGCGATGGGAGAGCTTCGTGTGTCAAGTGCTCAACATCCAGCAGCGGCGACGTCCGTTCATCGTCACCTCATGATGAAGGTGTGAGTGGAGTTCCTCTCGAAGAGCGGCTTGTCTTCACAGTGGAGCTCGCGAGTCTCCGACGTCCCGTGCTCTCCGTGAAGGATCACGTTCGCCTGATGTGGACGGAGAGGCAGCAGTGGCTATGAGATGCTTTCGAGCGTTGTTGCAAGATAATCCAGGGTGAAGCTAAAATCTGCTGCTTGCGAATGATCGTGCAGTGCCTTTGTGAACGAGTGGCAACCAATGAGCAACCATTCAGATTTGTCCACATATTTCCCACGAGCATAGTGCCCCGAACTATAAACAACACCTGTGTATTTATGTGTGCGTGCGATGAAGGAGAGATGTGATTTTTATGCTGAATAATGGATGTCATCGGCAGTGGTCCCTCGGGTACGAGGATGACAGCCTTCCGCACCCGGCAGTGGCTGAAGCAGGCCAATCCAAGATCCGCACGCTCGACCGCTAGGCGCGGCAGGTGGTGCCAGGGGGGGTTGATGGAGGCAGGAGTGTGCCCCGGACTACCGACCAACGAGGGACGGCGGCTCATGGTGATTTTCTACCGACGAGGGCAGGGGGTGGGTGGCAGCACCTTGGCGGTGGTGCCGGCCCCGGCACGGAACCCGGTCTCCAGCGTGACCTCGTAGAGCTGCTGGTCGCTCGGGAGGTTGTCCTGCAGCGGGATGGCCCCGGCCTTGCGCTCGTCGTGCCGGTCCCAGCGGCGGCACAGCACGAACCCCGGAACCGCCAGGGCGAGCACCAGCAGCACCACGGCGCACGGGAACAAGTTCTCCAGGGGCCTGGCAGGGCGGCCACGGCCGAGGTCGCGTTCAGGTAAAATCAAATCGCCCACCCCAAGGTGGACTTGTCACCGAGTCGCTGGGAGACTGAAGTAGGTTGCCCGCGATGAATGACGACTCGGAGACGCGAGGAGGAACCGCAGACCAGAGCGACAGGCAGAAGCAGCCCCCCGATTCCCCAAGCTCTGCAGTCCTCTATTTACTGAGACGTTATCGGACAAAATGAGTGCATTCGATATTTAAACGCTTCCACATTTTTTACATCAGAAAAACTGTAGCTGCATTCACATGCTCTTAAATCCAAGCTGTGTTGTTTGGAAGGCAGCTATGCTCATCGCTGCATGATCGTCACTCCAGGCGCAAGTAAGGTGTGCATGTGAGGGCAGTAAAGCAACATCAGTTATTGTACTGTACTTCTTTACTCTCACGTCTACGCTCCCCACCTTCACTCGCTCACACTGATCAGCGTGCTGAAACGCAATCGAACAACCTCCAGCAGAGGCCCTCATCCAGCAGTGGATTAACACAGGTGCAGTTCATGTTATGTTTACTGGTAACCTTTTGAAATGCAGGTATCCCTCGATTTACGAACATTCGGTTTAGGAATTTCCGCGCGTACGCAATTGACAAATTGTGGACACTTTCGATTAACGAAATCTAATTTCCACGTTAACAAAATCTCACACGGCAAGCGCCATGAGACCATCAAATGAGAAGCAATCGGGAGGCTGCATCATCCATCCGCGACAGCGTCACCGTGTCCCTGCAGTGCAACGGTAACGCCTCCACATTACCTTTCCAGGCATTCCAACATGTAGATCTGTTGGTGAGTTCCCTGAAAAGGTTCATCATTTTTTTATGAAATCGTGTTAAAAATTATTTTTTATTATTATTATTTTTGTATCGTGAAAAGTGATGTAGATGGGTTTTTTTAAGGTTAGAAATACAGCTGTCCAAAACACATCCAGAATTTTAAAATTAAATTCATGGGAAAAGCTGTTCCCATTTACAAAATTACGTTTTACTTCGGTTTTTTTGAAGAACGCATCCCTTTCGTAAATCAAGGGCTATCCGTTTTAACCCTTTCTCAGCTGGTCCCATCTCCTCCCGAGACTCGGCAATGCCTCCTGTGGGCAGCCCCGATATTTCACGTGAGCGAATGAACGTTTAATTTGTGGGCCCACGCATGTGATACATCTGCTGCCATCTAGTGGCAACATCTTGAAAATTAAACAAATCATGACACGGACCACACCAAGAGGCCTTGCCCCATTCACGAATGGTGAAAACTTCTACAACAATCAAACTAATCAAGTTTCTATAATTAATAATACACGTACAGGTGGGAAGTGCGCGGCTGCTGTGGACGGGGACGGGTGTGCATCGGTCATTGTGTTTACCTGATGAAGCTAAGTACTGGCGTTTGTGACGGGGAGCTGGCGACCCGGGACGCGACGGCGGTGAACGTGGTCAGGTGATCGCAGCTGCAACGACACGGGGACGGCGCAGAACCCTCACGGAGGAGTCCCGTGGCACGCACGCCGCCTCGTAGACCCCAAGAAAAAACTTGCGCGGTCGGTCTCACCGAGCACGGCGTCCGGAGAGAGTCGGCGCAAACTGAGCCACGGCACCCGAAGAATGCGAGGCCAACCGTAAAACTTGCATTTAATTTTAATACTTGTATTTAAAATTCCCCCCTAGGGTCACAAAGTAAGGGGCGATGATTACTCTGTGATAATCCCAAATGAGTGATTTGCGGTGTAATCTGACAAATTTTTAGTAATTTGGACTATCACGCCAGTCCACACTGGCCTACTTCCTTTGGCAAGGTTGGCTACGTACAGTGGGAAAAAAGTTCAACACGCACGCAAAATTCTCTTGACCAACTACGGCACGAGACCTTTTTCATTTTGCGCACGTACCGCGAGATGCTTTCGCTCACGTGCCCGTGTCACACGATGCCGCGTCACATGACTGGTACCTGCAGTTGATCCTGTTGGACTGCAAGGCGGTAACAGTCTCACATCCATCGGGCCTCCAGCTTCCTTCTCCATCCCAGTAGAGACACTCGAGCCAATCCACGCTCAGCGAGTAGTTGACAGACGGTGCGAGGTGGCGGCGTGGTGGCACGCGGTCGAACGTGGAGTCGAGCAGAGCGAGGTAGTAGACGCCTTTGTCTGCGAGAGCCAAGCAGACAGAAAAGGATCCTAACTCCGACGCACACACTGGATGCATCCTGCGTCACAGATAACTCTTCAGTCGAGCGGGTATTCGTGTCATTCTTATAGAGCAAGGCTATCACGAAGGCGATATTTTTAATCGATGGATGTAGTCTGCCAGGAAAGCGTGATGATTCCATGTGGCCTTACCCGATTAAGTAACTTTGGGATTTTGTTTTTAATTGGGCAAAGTTGGACCGTGATACTGGCAGACATAGCCTACTCTTTTTTTGCATAACATTACAGGATCTTTAACACCCACTGTGAAACAGACAGGGCATAATCAAGTGGTTATTACCCCCACTATTAACCACGGCAGCCACTGAGATTGAATCGTGATGTCCTGCAGCAAGCGGCAAACACGCTTCCACGTCACAGCGTCCAGGAGGATGTGGCATTGTTGACTATTTTGTAAATGAAAATAATTAAGGAACTGCATCGGCAGTGATGCATGTGCATTAGATACACCTCACCAAGTCCATTGTTATAACATAGAAGCAAATAACTGCGAGTGCTCGTTGCCTGACATGTGAGCCTAGTGTCACGTACGGTCTCGCGTTCTATTGTCACGCAGTTATGCGGTAGGCAAGGAACCCACAGCTGAGTTTGGCGGGAGACAGGAGGAGGCGCACGCTGTCGCTCTGCCACTCGTAGCTCTGTCTGTACGTGAAGTTGTCCGGCGCCGGTTCGGCCCGGGGCCTGGCAGTCATGGGAGGAGCATGGAAGGAGAACGTCAATGGAGGGAGGACGTCAATTCGCACAGAAGTTGCCAGATGCTGCCCACCGCCATTCCACACACTTTCACTAGCGATCTGGCATTTGTTTACGGTTATCGCGAACAGAAGTGCAGGTTCGCCTTGAAGCACCTCTAGCGCTTCAGCGTTAATTTCATGTTGCGCCGCGTGCTGTCGTTTGGCACGATGCCCGACTGAGTTCCTGCAGAAGCTCCCAGCACGTGGAGCGGGACGTCAGGCACCTTGCCAAACGACAACATGCGGCACAACCCAAACAACACACTGGCGGAGAGCTGTACAGCACAAGGGTGAAAATCTAGACGGTCGTTTTAAGCAGCATTGAACGTCTTGTTGGGGCACGCGTAATTAGCGAGCACTTACGGAGGCCAGTACGGCACACGAGGAAGTGGACGGCCAACACCGCACTGGGCCACCTTCGTATTCTCAATGCTGATGTTTACGCTTCGCACCTGGTACTCATTTGAGTCTGAGTCGACCTAGAGGAGGCCCAGGATCGGTTCAGATATGCCACCAATGTTGGCCATGAGCGGGAATCGAACTCGGGACGCCGGGTTTGTAGCAAAGCGCGCTAACCACGATGTTACCACTCCGCCAAACCAAAGATCCCCCAATATAGCCTTAACAGACTGTTGGGGCAAGTGCTGTTAGCAATAACCTATAAAGGCCGGAACGGCACATGAGGGGGTGGTTGGCCAGCAGCACGCCCGGCCGTTTTTTATCTCCCATGTGGAAATGTTTTTACACATTACACCAGGTACTCAATTGAGGCTAAGTCGACCTAGGGGAGGCCTAGGACCGGTTCAGAGAACAAACCTTGAGGAGGGGGTGAGTGGAGGCAGCTCACCTCATGAGCACTGTGATGGGGAAGGGCCGCTGGCTCGGCCGCTGGAAGGTGCAGGTGATCTGCAGCGTTCCGCGCACCTCCCCGGCGCTCACGTTGAACGCGTGCACGTTCATCGTCGGGCGCGCCAGCGAGAACCAAGCCGCCTCGCTCTGCAGGCGACCCCGCACAGACGCTCTCAGCCCAGTGGCCGCACGCCCTCACAGGCCACAGGCACGCGGAGAGGGCCTTCATGTAAACGTCTCGGGATTACCCGACGACGCAAACTTCATTCGTCCGCGACACGGCGCCACGCACGGCTGTAGTTGAGCCACCATTGTGTGTATACGGCCCTTTGTCGATCCACTGCTGGACGAAGGCCTCCCCATGCAATATCAATCACGCGGGATGTTTAACCATACCTCGCCGTGCTGGTCAGTGTGGATTTGATGTAGCATTGGCAGTTATGTTTCAAATGAAACGTAAAACATCATTAAATTATGGAAATGAACTGGCAGCGATGCACATTCACGTGCATCACAACCGGTTCAGATAGCATTAGTCACTGATGTTAGCCGTGGCCAAGAACGGAACGGTAATCACTGTGACCACCGCTCCACCCCCGAGTGACCGTTCCAAGTGAATCGCTAAGGCGACGGAGACCGACCTGCAGGGACGGCAGGGGCAGCTCGATGGTGATGGGCGTGGAGAGTTTCGACACCTTGATGCTTAGTCCCTTGTGAGTGTACAGCGTCAGGTCGGCCACTGTCCCTAGGACCTGATTCACAAGAATCGCGCACACATGTGTAACATTTACGGTATATACGTTTAAAATGAAGCTCTTTCTAAACTTCGCTAGAACAGAGGTCAGCAACCTGCGGCTCCAGAGCTGCATGCGGCTCTTTAAGGACAACTTCATGAAGTTGTTTACTAAGCACCACCACCTCGTGTTGTTTACTAAGACCACTGCCTTGTGTTTGCGTGCTTTGCAGCTCTTGAATCGCTGAGTTTTTTACTGAATAAAAAAATGGTTCTTTTATTACTTTGGTTGCTGACCCCTTAACTAAAACAATATCTAGCCAACTAAACCTTTGAATGTACTTGCGCGGCAAACACACGTTTATTATGGCATTCAGTGGGATTTGCCTGGTGGCATGGGGATGGTTTAGTGTTTTATTTGTTTGTGTTTGGGTGATTTGTTTCCTTTCTTGTACTTCGCACCTCGAGCATGTTTGTGTTCAAGTTCAAGTTCATTTATTATGTATAGCCCTGTGAGCCATTCGGCTCTTGAATCGGGTGCAACCGCAACAAATAAAAAACAAAACATGAACAAAAAAACATCTTAAAGTGAATATGTGACTGAGTGCAAACAGAAAATCTAAGAAAAGACAGCAAAATATTGCAGAAAAAACACCGTACACCAACGCTGTGTGCAAAAATCCCAGTGGGATGCAAGTCAAACAACAACAAACAACAACCACAAGACAACTTAGATTAAGGCCATCAGTCTAACTCTGTACAACAACAAACAAACATGGCCAAACCAATACACTTTTCGAAATCACCAAAATAAAGCCATGAAAGCAATGAAACAGGGATCATAGGAACTGTGACGGAATTTTCACAATAAATGACATAAACACCATGTACTACCAAAACCCTGCAGCCATAGCTGGCTGCATGAGCCACTCCACAACAGCAGGAGCATCAATCGAAGTGTTATAATTTTTCAATGCACCTTTAAGATCAGCACACTAAATCAACTCTTTATTGTTGTAGCGTTCCGACCCACCTTGCTGGACCTCTGTGAAAAAAAGCTTTATAGCTCATTGGATTCCTCCTGCAGTATAAATAAATATCCATAATACAGTTTTTTTGGGGTTAGATTTCGTAAATATATAAATGTGTCGTTAAACCTGCCACCACCCGACACAGCCAATTGGTAAGGGTTGTCACATAAACGGAATGCGTCAATTCGTCACTAGTACAGCACTAACCGGTGTGTTGGAGAGCCAAGCCACAACATTTACAATCTGAGTACGACGTTTTGCCATAAATGCATATTGAGATTCTGAGAGTCACCTCGAGATAGCGGCTGCCCCAGAAGTACGGGTTTGCATTGAAGTGCACGGTGCGGGTGTAGATGCTGCCGTTGGGCTGGCGCGTGATCTGCCCGTCGAGATCCCGCGGAAGGTAAAAGACGGCTCCCCCGCTCACGGGGACCCGGGCAACCACTCCCCCCACGGAGTCGAGGCGCTCCACGCGCACGGCCAGACCCTCCAGCTCCACGCTCGCCTCCGCCTCGCTCGCGAGCGCCATGTACCTCTGCGGCACGGGCGACAAACAAACGGCGGGGGCAGTCGCACGCTCGGCAAGCGACAAAGCCTTGAAGGATTGTGACAGAGTAAAAAAACATGCTCGCGAGCGCGGAATTCGCGAATGAAAAAACCTTGTTCCGATGGGAAAAATTAGGTACGCGCCTAGTACGAGTGAACATAGGTGGGGAAATTGTAAATGTTTAAAACCATTGACGACAATAAATGAATACATTACGAAGAACAATGTTTTTTTTAAAATTACCTTTGATGAGGAGGATGATGATGATGATGAATTGCCGACGATGGAGGTGGTGGTGAGGAATTCAGGAGGATGACTCTTCGCGAGAGGCAGGTATTTGATAACAACGCCACCCAGCTGTTATCGTTTTAGCACTCTGGGGTAGTGCTCGCCGCAACAATTTCCCCGATTGCATTTGCCTTCCCTTTAATGGACCTCACAGTCGACTCGTTTATACCAAAATGTTAAACGAGTCAGCTGTAAGTACGTATAAAGTAAAACATGCACATCAGCGAATTCAGAGTGGGATTGCTGTGAGGCTGAGGACTAAGCGGGCAGCCGAGGTGGCACGACGTTCTGCGCACACCTCCCAGTGTCGGTGGTGCGGCACTACGCACACTCGCGAATACTCTGGGGTCTGGCGAGTCGTGGATAGGAAATGAGCATACATATAGTAACTCGCGAAAATGCGAAACTCACGAATACAGAACTCGCGCGTAGCGAGGGTTTGCTCTGCAATTTTAGAGCAATCGTCGCTCGCGTTGGCAGCGGCAGCTGCTACACGGTCTTCTCGTGTCTCCTAGACATACCTCCATTACTCTACGCGATCTCTGTACAAGTTACCACAGTTGTCCGTGGCCAATGGGTTGCCGGCGAAGACTGCTCTGAATATACGCTCTCGTGTACCATGGTCTTAATAAAGGAACCTTGCCGATCATGCTTGTACTTTGCAAATAAGTGATGGGCGCTGAGCATTCAGCACGTGGAGCAAAACGTCGGACACCGTGCCGTACAACACCCGGCACAACCCGAAACACGTCGGAGAGCTACGCAGCACGCCCGTGAAGACCGACGAATCAACTCGTTTTGCCTTTCTGATTTTTGTTGGTCGCCACTTAAAACCCGCTCGACAGTCACGTAACAAACGCTTCAACAGTGCACGTGTGCCGTCACCCCTAAACACGCGTGACCCAGGGATGGTCCCCGTCAGCGAGCATCCGGTCCCTGGCCGGGCACCTGCAGGAGGCGGGTGATGGAGGCGACGGCGCGCGGAAGCAGCCGCGGGGTGGAGGGATCCTCTCGCGCCGACACAACCCACAGGCTGCGGCCCACGGCGCTCAGCAGCTGCGTCACCGAGACCCAGTCGGGGGTCGGGGCGGCGTCGTCATCCGCGGCGACCAGCCACGCCAGCTCGCTCAGCATCCACAAGGTGTTGTTGCCCAGCTGCACGGGATGCAGCGGCGGGCGTATTACTCGCACACCGCCCCCAGGACGCGCAGGGCACGCGAGACTGCGATGGGGAGCTGGGTGCGCGCGTGGTGGAGACAGGGCGAGTGCGCGGCGGACAGTGCGTATGGCAAGAGTGGGTGGGTGCCAGGCCAAGTGTGCGCTGGAAAGTGGGTACCTGCGGGAGCGTGCTCGTGAGCTCCGCTAGCCTCGTTGCTGTGTCTCGCAACTCTTCCTGCAAACAGATATCGTGTATTTGGGGTCATTCGCTTTTGCACAGATAATTTTGCGATCATCATACGATTACTTGATGGTGCTGCTAGGTGTCCGTGCTTGTGCACAGAGGGGCACTGTTACCTGTGTGGCTATACGCAGGTTGCACAAGGTCTGGATGAGCCTCTCCCGAATTTCCATCTGCCGCGTCTTGCTGGCATTGTCGGTGCTGACGAGTCGGTTGAGGACGGAGGCCACGATGCCCAGGAAGATGCGGGTCAGGCGGGCATCTCCCAGCCCGAGCACCTCCGTCAGCTTCGCGCCGGGCGTCACCAGCGCCGTGTGGCTTGGGGAGTCAAGAGAGGCGCCGCCCGTTAACAAAACGTTCACGTGCTAAGGAGCCCGCGTAACACTCTCGCTCTTCTTCCCAAAGACACCGACGCGGGTTCCATCATGTGGATCACTCATTCATCGCGCGTACTTCCCTGGATACCCCCTTCCTTCCCCTTTCCTCTCTATTCCTTTCCTCTCCTAGCCACCAAACACCTGCTTAACTTTCCCCTTTATGTTCGCATGATGGCCGAGGAATACAGCACAATTTTTCGTATGCAATTGTAAATACTCAACTTTCTGTTTTTGTACAGTTCTGCATCGTTACTCAAAATAAAATATATTTTAAAGACACTTGGGTTCCAATGGGCTCTCGCTGGTCTCTAACTGTGCCAACACTGCCCCTCCTGCATCACGAACTCACATGTACTGGTCAAGGGTCGTGCCGTTGGGTGCCGACAGGTTATCGACTTTGACGCGTTGCGAGCAGAGCTCCGTCGGGACGCCCAGGCTGTTCCTCGCCAAGATGGAGACGTTCACTGCGGAAAACAGCGCGCGTCGTTAGTGTCGCCACGACAGGTCCGGCGCAAGCACGGTAAGCGTCGTGGCCAAGGTCAGGCGTCTTACCCATGTTGGCATCTTGCACGCGGCCCGCTGGGAGGATGAAGATGCGCTCGTTGTCGAGCCCCTGGTAGAGCAGGGTGGGCTGCACAGAGCTTCCGCTGGTGCTGTAGCTGTACTCGTACTCCAGGGGCTGGTGCTGCTCAAGGAGGAGACATGGTCGGGAGCGTCACGCAATAAGTGGATGCGCACTTCCCGTGGCGATCGAAGAAAGCTGGGAAGCACCAAACGAGAACGTGGGCCATCGCGCTCCTCTCCGCACTCCGTCCCTCCTGTGGCCACTCACCTTGGCGTTGGAGCTGCTGCAGAAGATGCTGAATACGGTGAGCAATTCCACACCATCGTTGGGGCTGATGGTACAGTAGACCTCCGGGTTCGGAGAGAGGGCAGCCGTGAACAGAAGATGTACGTACCCTTTCTCTACCGCCGTGCCTGCGGACCAGTGTTGTGCAGACGAGCGTATACACGCACACACACACGCACCCACATGCACGCAGGCGTAAGTGCATGGACACAAATATATGTGCACACAAACACACACGCACACGTGCACAATATACACATGCACACGAAGATTTAAAACACGCAAAGATGTGCCGACAAACAGCAGCAAGGCAAGACTCCCATTGTGCCTTGCACGCATGTCGTGTGACTACCACAGTGCATGCACACACGAACGCACCCACGCAGCATTAAATAGGGGGCAACGTGGTGTGATGTAGACATGAGCCGGCGAAGCAGCATCAGTGGCAACGAGGATGCAGTTGTAGTGAGGCATGGGGGCCTCATTACCCAACGTGCTGGTGACGGTCAGCACGACGGCGTAGGTCTGGTTGTCCGTCAGCATGTTGGGCCGCAGGGTCAGGGTGTCCCCACTCAAGCCTTTGTCGATGAGAGAGAGAGAGAGAGTAACGGAAACGCGTGTCACTGCCACGGTAGGACCCTGGTGGGATTTGGTGGAAAGATAAAACGTGCATGGGGCAGCCGGAGCTCGTGTGCACAACTATGGCGGTGGCTGGCCATGCACGGCAGCTCCCGCCAGTCTCACCGGTAGACGTCATGTCTTCTCTCAGAAGGTTGATCTCCAGAACGTAGTCTATCGACTCTTTGACAACTTCGACCTTTGGCTCTTCCTGGATCACTTCGTCTCCTGGTTTTGTGGTATTTGTGGCAACTGTGAGATTAAATGCCACCATAATTAAAAGGCACTCGCACACTTCACCGCAGTAAGTTTCCCACGGGTGCATTGTCAGCAGAGGACGCGTATTACCACGGGATAATAAACGACGCTCCGCGTTAATAATATAACCACGCCGTTGGAGCGAGAGTAAAGCAGTGCGGGGCAAATCAAAGGTAGATGAACTGGGAAGACTCACTGTTGGGCGGCACCGTCACGGAGCCAGAGCCGGAGCCTCTTCCTGAAATATTCAAAGAGCGCGCGTTCCGTTAACGTGGCCAGCATGCGATTGTGACGCAGCCGGGCGCAAAAAACGGAAGGCGTGGCGGCGTGCAACGACGCGGTGCGTCACTCGGGGCTCCTACCGGAGTTCACGGTGCCCTCGGAGATGTTACTGGAGATCCCGCCCGAATCGACAATGCTACCCGACGAGCCGGCCTGGGGAGTGGATTTGCTCGCCGTGGACGGCGCGCTCCGGGTGGTGGATGGGCCCGGATCCTCGCTGCTCACGTTGCTCGGAGCCTCGCTGCTCACGTTGCTCGTCACTGGGCACACGACGACAGCGGCGTTCGCTTGAAGCCGGAAGCCCGCGCCGATAGGGAAGCGGTATTTGCCTGTGACATCCCGTTTTTCCGCGATAATCCGAACCCGACCCTTGTGTCAACAGTGACATCCGTGGGCACGTTAGGCAACGCTTAGCAGCCTCTGCGTCTACTTGCGGAGCCAAGCAAGCTGAGCGCGCAGAGACGGCCGTGCACTCACCCATACGCTGAGGTCTTTGGAAAACGTTAGCCCCCTCTTCGAGACCTGGAGGCAACATTGGGAGCCACTCGCTGGTCACAGGAGGAGTCATCGTGGGAGGTGCGGCCGTCGCGTTTGTCGCCGTCGAGTTTGAGCAGTTGGCAGGGCGACCTGCGAGCATAGCAGTCGGAGGAATCGCACAACTCTCACGGATGGCTGTGTGGAGCTATCATGTATGGCCATTGTATACAAACTCATTGTGTGTTGTTGCAGAGCATTATGTGCATTAGCAAATATAAGCAGAACTCTGTTCTGTGTCTCCGCATAGATATAAACATGTGTTATAGTGCACTATTCTCTTTCCAGACCAACATTATCCAGAAAGCAAACTCTGGGACAGTTTTGACCCTCTGGGTCTCGTTGGGCTTGCTTAGACATAATTCGCTGGATAACGTCGGTCTCTATGGCCATAGCTCCAGCAAAGAGTGAAAACACCAAAGTTTTTTTGGTTCAGCATTTGACATTCACTGGGAAAAACAGCAGAGCCACTCGCCTGCGGAATCCCCGGAGGTGGCAGCTCTCCTCTTGCGATTCAAGGACGGCCTGCCCTCTGGCGCCTCGCCCTCCTCCACGTTCCCCGGATCTAGTGGGGGAAACGTATCCTGCGACGACGTCTCAGTGGGCGTGGCCGTGCTGGAGACAGAGGCTTCACATGCCGGCGGGTTGGCGGCCTGCGTGGAGGCACGAGAGCTCGTGGGAATGGCCACGGCGGGTGCCGTCTTGTTTGCTTGTGTCGCGCCGGGAGCTGTGGCCTGTGAGGAGGTGGAGGAAGTGGTGGACGTTGAACGAATGGAGGAGGCTGTGGAGGAGGCGGTGGAGGATGAGGTGGAGGAGGTTGTGGCTCTGGAGGAGAGCACGGTGATGGAGGATGCAGCGTAGGTGTCATTGGCCACAGATGAGGATGTGGGAATTGGTGACATGGTGTCTGTGGGAGGTGCCGATGTGGTAGGCCCAAATAGGCTGCTGGATTGCCCGTCCCTCAGGATGCAGAAATTTTCTGAAATGAGAAAACCAGACATAAACCTCATTTTCTTAGGCTGCATCAACTCCCCTATCAGGTACACAGTAGCAGCACTCTATGTATGGCAGCACGTACGGAAATAATCGAGCAGAGAGTCTGTGCCTTGTCGCGGTCTGTCAGGCAAAGGGTAAGGAGACATTGTGGCCACAGCGCAGAAGTGGGCTCAGTACTGTGATTGATTGTCGGCAGTTGTGAGAGGACGGGCTTGAGGGCCCACGCGTAGGAGATGTTGGCCGAGAGGCTGCAACCAGGGCAAGAGGCGTGCACGGTGAGCTCCTGGTCCCACCGAACCACGCCGCTCTCACACACCGGGCACCACAACGCCACCCTGCAAGAAGAAAGTTGGTTTTCGAGTTACAAGTTGATTTCGTTGAACCAGGTGAATGCGCAAGAGACCAGGATGATGCCCATTTGCAAGAGTGATCTGGGTCCCCAAAATGCCAACAGCAAATACATGAAACCTAAGCATAACAAAGACACAAATCTAAATCAGAGAGAAAAAAACAACCATGTTATGTGAGAGATAGAGAACAGTGCACAAACTCAATCAACAACAAATAAAATACAAAAAAATTGTAGGTAGTGAAATATAATTACGGAAACATCAACATAGACTTACGGTGATTGTTGCACAGATGTTTCAAGGAAACTGACAGCGTGTGCGCCGCATGGCAACTACCTACTCGTGTGCGAAGCCTTCCGATCAAAGCAACGGTTCTGCTTGAGTCCCAGGAAAGAACGCTCGTTATTGAAATACCCAAACATCGCAATGCGGGGCACTCCTTATAATACGTCTGAAGATTCATTGAACCTTTCTCTCATAAATGGAGGGCATTATTACAAATATTGACGGTATTGTTAAGACTAACTTTTATGTTCAGAAACTGAACACATTGATCAAAAACACTGCCCTAGAAAAATATCTAATCGATGACGTTTTGAGCAGTGGCCCATCATCATAGCACAAGGATAGAGAGGCCAGTGCCAGAGAGATGGAGGGAGTCATAGTTGGAGACTACTCTATACACCTGTACACAATATGGCCCTGATGGAAATTTTACTTAAGAATGTTTCCGAATTAAGTTTTTAATCGGTGCATGACTAGTTACTCATGAGTAGATATGGAGGAAGGGACAAACCGTTTTAAAATCTAACATATTAATACATACACTCATTTGCATTAAAGGCATCATTTTCAAAGTTGCTGACAAATTTTATCCTGGGTAACCATGTTGCAGTTGGCTTCTTATTGGAGAGAGAGAGACGCATAAACTCGTTTTGTATCAGAGCAAATGCGATTCTCTGCCAGCGCTTGACGTAACCTAGGATTGCACTTGCAAAAGAGGCCACGTTGTTTCATGCCCTCAACGGGTTTATTTTATCTCTTCATTAAACAAAGGATACGACCAGCAGCAACAACACAACAGCAACATAACAACACAACAACAACACCACGACAAACAACAACAACACGACACGCACCGGAGGGGGGCTTCTTGGTAGATGGTGACGAACTGCTTGGTGGTAACGGCGTCCCGTCCGGGCTTGCCGACGGTGAGCGAGATGACGAAGGCGTCCGTCTGCACCAGCAGCGCGGCGGGGAACTCGAGGCGCACGGCGCTCGACTCGAGGGGGCTGAGGCCGCCGCCCAGGGAGGTCACGTCCCAGCACGAGGTGCGCGGCTTCCCCTTCAGGTAGCAGCCCCAGCTGAACCTGCGGCAGCCGGACGCGATCGTTTACTCCCCGGGGTCCCCTGACGCCAACAAGAGAGTCAAAAGCGCCCCGGCGGTCGGGCAACGGACACGCGAGAGAGTTGCCGCTGCGAAAGCCCGCAGGCCCACGCTCGCTGCCCTTTCCCCTCTGCGGAAACGTCGGCAATGGAGGAGGAATGGGTGATGGTTGATGATAAGAAAGGAGGCCCATAGCTCAGCTCTAAATTATACTTTTTGTTAGCACTACTCCTCGTCATAACCCATCATCCGTCATCGCAGCACAAGGCGAGTGTCTTACATTGCTGAAACCATTAAGCAAACGAGGTTTTTTATCAAACCTATAGTGCGCCCTCAAACTACGATGGGCACATATAACTGTGCCCTGCATTTACCGGGATTTTTTTTTGCCACACCCATAACATTGGAACTAAGAACAGTCAACTGCACTCTGCAAGAGATCAACCACTGAACGCAGAGTGCAAGGCACGCCGACTCTCGTTGTGAGCCGCGTCTCTATGCTGCACAGAAACGTCACACATCAGCCAGCTCTCGATCCAGTTAGCAGAGGATTGTGAGTTCCAGAATTTTGTAAAAAAAAAAATTCAACTGCAATAACATTAAAACTTGTAAATGTGTAAAAAGTCTTCATAAATGAAACAATCCTTTGTTCACAAAATTATTTTACCGGGCCATCCTGAATGAACCCGAAATGTGGAGGACACGGTGGAGGCGATGACCCAACTTGCCTGAGGTCGGTCGAGGCTTCCGGGTCGTCGGGGTCGAGGGAGCGCGACCCGTCCAGCAGCACGTGTTGCTGCCGAGTGAGGAACACCCTCGTGCCGCCGGAGATGATGCTCACGAGCGGCGAGGGCTCCACCACGACGCTCACCGCGTACACCGCGTACACAATCGTGCCCGCGATCCGCACCTGGGCGCGGTTCGCCACGCCACAAAAGATGCCGCTCGGTGCCAAGTTTCTCACTCTCTCGTTGACAAAGGCTTGAGTGGGGACACCCTGACCCTGCGGCCCAACATGCTGACGGACAACCAGACCTACGCCGTCGTGCTGACCGTCACCAGCACGTTGGGTATTGAGGCCCCCATGCCTCACTACAACTGCATCCTCGTTGCCACTGATACGGCTTCACCGGCTCATATCTACATCACACCAAGACAGATCCCGGGACATGCTCTACACTGCTGAGGAGCTGAAACCAGGCCACGGTCAGCGTACTTCTGAATTCACCGTCATGAAAACAAAACAGGAACATCAGGAAGAACCGGAGTCAAATTTTATGCTGAAGAGCCATTGTTGTCTGAAATATTAGCTGACTGGAGGTGTTGCCGTTGTACGGCGGCGACAGAGACAGTTTTGACGCGGCACTCGTATGAATGTACACGGCGTGCCGTGGTGCGGAGGACGATGCCGTCGCTAACAGTGCAGCCACACGCTCACCTTGGTGGCTACGGTATAGTTCCCGTAGCTCAGGGTGTTCGCCGGAATGACAAGCCCCCGGTTGTTGGTGGCCACAGATGGCGGCAGCGCCAGCACAGAGCCGTCCTTGTCAACGACGGTCCAGTTGAAAAGCAGCACCCGGGAGGTGACGCAGTCGACTTTCTCGTCCTCCAGACTCACAGCCAGCGCCAGTGGTCGCCGGCGGACTATCTGCTAGGGGCAGAGGCAGCATGAGGGCAAAGCCCTTGATACATGGCACCGCGCGTATTTTCACGAAGAAAAATACATTTTCAGTATCTAATAAAAAATTACAGCCAATCCTATCTCTTCTCAGGACCCCGCAATACCCTCCTGTGCATGGATATTTCACGTAAGCCCAAATTAAGTTATTTTTTCGCAGGCCACTTACATGACGTGTCTGTTTCCATCTAGTGACAACATCTGGGGAAATAACAATATTGCACTTCAGGACTTGGGCCCCCATGTCTCACTCATTTAGCTTTTTATTTACCAAAAATGTAACTGACCATGTTAACAGAATACATTTTCTGGCTGCAGGGTGCTGTGTGGTTGGAAAGCGCTTTGCGTGTGAAAAGGTTCAAGCGTTCGTGCGTTTCAATCCGCGGTGCTTTTGGGAGCACGGGCCTTGATGGGCAGCGAGACGTGCAGCTTGACGAGCGGCGGGGAGCACGGCTCCAGCACCACAAACACCGTCTTCTGCAGCTGACCCGACGAGACGTCGTTCCACACCGTCACCTCCACCTCAAACTCCCCCTGCCTGCACGACAGCACCACCAAACCAGAGACGCCATTATTAGACAGACTGCACAACAAGTAGGGCTGCCACCTTTCAGGTACCAAAAATAAACCACGATTCACCATGGGAAGAAGAGGAATCGTTCACAAGACCAGTAGAGGCAGAGAAGTGGATGTAAATGTGTCATTGTCGTAGGTGGTACTTGATTAGTACATAACTGACAAAAACAGGTAGGACGAACCTGGGAAGTCTAGGACAGGTGGCAATGCTGTGCACAAGTAGTTTGGCAATTCAATTACATTAAAACAGATTCGTCCCAATCCCAATCCCAATCCCAATCAACACACAAGCCTGGCTAACACTCAACATCGAAAAGTGTTCTGCTGCTGAAGTGACACATATCTATGGGACCTTTTTGCCGGTATCCAAAATGATGAAAAATAGGAATAGGTTTTACCCTTTCTGATTAATTCCCAGAAAGGGTAAAACCTATTCTTATTTTTCATTCTCAAAGAGACACCGTGCTCTGTGGGATAGAACCAAAATGTGCAGGATGGGCTACCTCCCCGGCCCACCTCTGGTAGGTGTGCACTTCCGAGCCGTTTCCTGTCCGCACGTCGCCATCCCCGAAGCTCCAGTTGTAGCGCAGCGCAGAGTTGGAGTTCATGAAGATCTGGAACGTCACGGGCCTACCCAGCAGCAGCCCCGGCACCCTCTTGGTCCCGTTCACCATGAGGCTGTTGATCGCCACGGGCTGCTGCACCTCCAGCGACAGCACGTTGGACACCGTGCAGCTGATGCCGTTGCAGGCGCGCACCGACACGTTGTACCTGCCGCGAGCGGTGCGCCCTCGTGAGCGGAACCAGACGCGTGGCGCGGAACGGAGCACGACGGTGGCGCGGTGACAGACACTCCACAGAGGCAGGCGCCGGGCCAGCGGACGGGGCCAAGCCAGCAGTGGCGTAGACAAGCGTGCCACTTAAATTCAATATTAAAAAAACGTAGAAACAACAATAATAATTAGCCACGTCGGCAGAGGCCAGGATGGTGGCAGAACTTCGGTACTCACGTGCGGGCGTACTCGTAGCTGTAAGTAGCGTAAGGGAGCCGTACGGTGACAGGGTCCGTGCCGTCCCCAAAGTGCCACTCGAACGTGACGGACACGGTGTCGGCCGGAATGACGGAGAAGCCCACGGTGCTTTTCACGGCAAAATACTTGGAGGTCGTCTCGATCATAACAGCTGTGCGAGCCAGAAGGCATGAGCCGGGTTAATGGCACACACGAGACTTTCTACACCGCGACTGTTTTACGCTCACCTCTCATTGTCGTTTAGAGACAGAAACGGAATCCTAAAGTCTTACTTAGTTGCAACTAAGTAGAAGCGTTCAATGAAAATGCAGGCAACAGTCTCAAGTCCAGTAAACTCACTGATAACCCAATAAGTACAATGAAATACAATTAGAATGTTTTAAGAGTCTAAAAGCAACCATATATATGAAAAAAACGTTATCTCCTATTATCTATAACAATAACAATCGAAGTGATTTCCTGCTCACGTGAGCATCAAGGCAGTGCTCATTTCCCGTTTACAGCCCTGAACCAGTGACTGAAATTGCAAAATCCTATGGCAGGGTCGACTTCTCCATAGGACAATCGCTGCTGACTTCTGCACAAAGTGCTACCTATTTTATTCACCTGGGAGGAATGAGGGGCCCCGATTGCACCTCCAACCTTGATTCGAACTCGTAACCTTCCAATTGCTAGCCACCTGGCAGGTGTTTGTTTTGTATTCATTTATAATCTATCACAGCAAACCATATTGGCTCACACCAGAACGATATTTGCTTTTCTCATTTTTACATCACTGCGAATGTTTGGCGGTGCAATGAGGTTGCAGGTCGGCGTATTGCGGTGCGGTGGACTGGCAGGGCCGCGGGGGTGTGGGTCAGCGGGGCGCACCGTGCATGACGTTCTGCACGGAGAGTTGCGCCGTGGCGTTGAGTGAGCCCACGAGGTTATAGGCCACCACGGTCACGTTGTAGAGGCCGGTGGACGCGTACGTGTGCTGCACCTGTGGACCTGCAACACAGCCGCAGCACAAGCGACAATTAGCAACCTCTCTCCACACTAATAAAAATGCGTGGATACCCCGTTTAGCCATAAGAGACAGTCGGGGCAAGCGTTACTCTCGCCAGCAACTACAAATGTAGGGGGCAGCACTCCAGGGGGTTGTGCAGTAAGTACCAAGCCCAACCACGTGGTCTGGATCAGATAATCGCCACGGACTTGCTCTTGATTTGTGGGGTTTGTAGCATGGCGCCAACTACTCCGCTGCCACTTCACTCTCCAAACACACGCACAGGCAGCTACAGACACACGCACAGGCAGCTACAGACACACGCACAGGCAGCTACAGACACACGCACAGGCAGCTACAGACACACGCACAGGCAGCTACAGACACGCACAGGCAGCTACAGACACACGCACAGGCAGCTACACACACGCACAGGCAGCTACAGACACACACAGGCAGCTACAGACACACGCACAGGCAGCTACAGACACACGCACAGGCAGCTACAGACACACGCACAGGCAGCTACAGACACACGCACAGGCAGCTACAGACACACGCACAGGCAGCTACAGACACACGCACAGGCAGCTACAGACACACGCACAAGCAGCTACAGACACACGCACAGGCAGCTACAGACACACGCACAGGCAGCTACAGACACACGCACAGGCAGCTACAGACACACGCACAAGCAGCTACAGACACACGCACAGGCAGCTACAGACACACGCACAGGCAGCTACAGACACACGCAGAGGCAGCTGCAGACACACACACAGGCAGCTACAGACACACACACAGGCAGCTACAGACACACACACAGGCAGCTACAGACACACACACAGGCAGTTACAGACACACGCACAGGCAGCTACAGACACACGCACAGGCAGCTACAGACACACGCACAGGCAGCTACAGACACACGCACAGGCAGCTACAGACACACGCACAGGCAGTTACAGACACACGCACAGGCAGCTACAGACACACGCAGAGGCAGCTACAGACACACACACAGGCAGCTACAGACACACGCACAGGCAGCTACAGACACACGCAGAGGCAGCTACAGACACACACAGGCAGTTACAGACACACGCACAGGCAGCTACAGACACACGCAGAGGCAGCTACAGACACACACACAAGCAGTTACAGACACACACACAGGCAGCTACAGACACACGCACAGGCAGCTACAGACACACACACAGGCAGCTACAGACACCACGCACAGGCAGCTACACACACACACAGGCAGTTACAGACACACACACAGGCAGCTACAGACACACACAGGCAGTTACAGACACACACACAGGCAGCTACAGACACACACACAGGCAGCTACAGACACACGCACAAGCAGCTACAGACACACGCACAGGCAGCTACAGACACACGCACAGGCAGTTACAGACACACGCACAGGCAGCTACAGACACACACAGGCAGCTACAGACACACACAGACAGCTACAGACACACGCACAGGCAGCTACAGACACACGCACAGGCAGTTACAGACACACGCACAGGCAGCTACAAACACCACTCACAGGGGGTAACTTCTTCCTCCAAAATTCGAGGCACCGCAGCCTCAGCAGGGTCATCCCCACTTTGTCCCACGATGTTTTCCATGTCGAGGAATTTCCCCTCCCAGGACTTCACAGAAATTCTCAGCAAATCTGCAAACATGTTCCTGGGGGTCGGAGATTGGAACACTGTTTTTCCCCCTAATGATGGTAATAGGTGTGGCGCTGCAGGTAACTTTTTTGATGGAGTTAAATAAGAATTTGTGATCACGAGCCATTGAGGCAGACTCCATCTCCTCAGCAACCTGCGACCACCACCCATCCTTGCAGCGCCTCACGGCCCTCTGAACCTCCGAGCGAAGGCTGCGGTAAGCCTCCTCATTCTCTGATGTGGGATGCTTAGATGATTAGCGATGATGAAATTCCTGCTTGCAACTTTCATCAACTAGCTGAGACCAGGCCACCTTATGTTTGAATGGGGTCCAGGGTGTACACCCATCACTGGAGTGGAAGAATGACAGGTGAATCTTACAGATGACAAGTCGATGGTCAGAGGGCAGATCAGCTCCACGGTAGGTTCTGGTGTCAAGGACATGGGCCCGCATCTGCTGTTCTGTCACTATGTAGTCCAGCAGATGTTCTTCCTTGAACCCGGCATGCATCCATGATGTTGTGTGGATGCGCCGATGCCGTAACAGCGTCTTGGTAATTACAAGCCCATGGGCTGCACAAACATCTAGCAGCCTCCTACCGTTGTTATTGAGCTGATCTGGCCCATGCCTTCCAATCACTCCATACCAGGTGCCAGCATCATCAGGCATTGAACTCACCCAACAAGATGACTATCGCAAGGGGCCACTTTAGCCAGCACCTGTGACAGGAGGTCATAGAAGGCATCTGTCTTATCGGCCTTGCCTGCATCCCTCCACGGATGTTTGTCTTCGGTGGGAGCATAAGTAACCATGACCACCACTCCTCACCTCCGGTTGATGGGAAGGCGAGCCCAAAGTAGCCTGGGGCTTACAGCTTCCCACACCTCACCGCCACGCTCCCACGCCCCCTTCATTCTTATGTTCAGAAGAAGAGCCACTCCCTGTTGTTTGGTAGTCTCCTGCCCCGAGTAGATAACTGTCCACCCCTCATGATGGCAGGAGCCATCAGAGCCGGTCCACCAGACGTCCTGAATACCAGAGATCCAGGTGGTACCATTCCAGCTCCTGACAGAGGAGTGGCAGCCTCTCCTCCGCAGTGAGCATTCGAACATTCCACGTGGCCATCCGTAGTGACTTTTTGTTGTTTTTGGAGGAGTCCCGAGGGTAAAAATTCAATGTCCTGGCTCCGCCAAATGGGGTTTGGCCAGGGGTCGTCATAGACGCCTGTCCCCCTGGGGCCTCCGGCACAAGCTTATTAATGAGATATTTTTTACTTGGTCTTGTGGTAATTTATTGAAGGTGGAGGGGTTACCAGCCCCTCGCACCCATCCAGAGTCCCCATTTAGCTGCTGTGGTGGTTACAAATGCCCTGAGGGGAAAGGTCAATCGGAATTGGCCCTCCCTCCCACAGCACTGTCCACGACAACGTTGCCCGTCCGGCACCACGAGGAGGTAGGGGGTTGTTTTTGCCGCACACAAACACAGGCAGCTACAAACACACACAGGCAGCTACAAACACACAAAGAGACAGCTACAAACACGCACAGGCAGCTACCAACACGCACAGGCAGTTACGGGCACACGCACAGGCAGTATACCAAAGCGTAGAGGACGCATCAGCATCCTGTGCCTGTCCATTAGGAATGCAGACTCCCAGACTCCACCACGTGTCAGACCACATGGTGGGGCACGGGGCGGGGAGGGGTGCGATGCAGAGTGATCCCGTGTGTACCGGCGGCCAGGTAGTTGGTCTCGTCTCCCATGGACCAGTTGTAGAGTGGCTCTGAACCGAAGCGCAGCCGCGCCGAGCAGCTGACGGGCTCTCCGTGCGGCACCGCACTGGGCGGCGTGTCGATGCTGAGCCCCACTGGCGCCCGCTGCACGTAGAAGGGACCCGCCATGCTGGTGACGCTCTCCAGCTCGCTCAACGCCGTCACCGTCACGTTGTACGCTCCCTCTAAAACACGGGTGCACGTTCGTCCGATTACACGCGTCACGGCCACGGCGATGGCCGGAACGCTCCGCGCAATGAGGAGTGCAGGCGTGAATGCGACGCAGCCGTGACTGCAATTCTAGCGATTACCTTCGGTGAATGTGTGCTGCCACGTGGCAGAATAATAAGGCTCGAAGCCCATCAAGGCCTCCACGAGCTGGGAGGTGTTTCCAAGGGTGAAGAGAAAGCTCAGCAGGGAGACGGGGTTTGCCCGCGCCTCAAACACCTGCAACTCCGTTTGCCACGAACCATTCAGGTGTTCATTCAGCGTCGCAAAATTCACATATCTGCCACACAAAGAAAGGTATCCCCCGTATAGCCCTTAACAGAATGTTGGGGCACATACAAACACAAACGATAAAGAAGCTTGGCACGATAACCTAAATAATTAAGGCAGGGAGGGACATTGGATGGCTGATTAATAAGGTCGTGGATACGGCTGGCTCCTTGTGGGATGATAATAATAACTTACACTTTTATTCAAACTATAATATAACGAAACATCCCAGAGTGCATTTATGATTGTGGCTCGGGGACTCCCTGATGGCAGCTGTCACTGTGGGGAACAAGGTGCAAGTTGGCATTTAGTCTGCCAGTACGGTGCGATGATGCCATGCATAATCACTCATTTGCAGAGAAATTTATACCATGATGGCAATGGCAGACTCTTTCAGAATGACATCTCAGGATCTTTAATGTCCACTGAGAAGCAGAGGGGCACGTATTTATGATATTTATAATATTTCACCCAGGGTAGTCATCAGGATGGCCTCGCTGATTCGTACCACAACTGGTTAACGTGATAGCACTGGGGGGCACCGGCCAACACCCAGCATGACTTATCTTGTTCAGTAAAACAATTACCAGGTCCTCTATTGTATCATCTTACATTGGCAATATTCATGATGTTTCACCCTAAACATTTTCCAATTTGGAAAAGCACACCATGTCACCTAGTGCCCTGCGGCAGTTGCGGGGGCAGGTTTACCGATTCAGGGACTTGTTGAACGGATATAACAGCTCCACATTCGTGATTGGTGACAGCACGCGCACGGGACGATCCAGGCTGGCGCTCGCCGACTTGTCGAGCAGGGTGCTCTCAGCCGTCACACTCACGGCGTAGTCGTTGATCTCAACCGCTGGGCAGACCACGGTGCTATGAAAGCCATCGCTGCATTCACACATACATACAAAGACCCCCCCCCCCCCCCGTATAGCCTGAATAGACTGTTGGGGCAACTGCTGTTAGCGAGCACCTATGAAGGCTGGCATGGCACACGAGGAGGTGGATGGGCCGCACCAAGCCCGACGGCCTATGTCTCCCTAGTGGGAGACATAGGCCGTCTGTATGTTTACATACTGCACCTGGCACTCATTTGAGACCGAAGAGAGATAATCGTCACTGGTGGTGGCCGTGGGAATCAAAGTCGGGTCGCCGGGTTCGTAGCAACAGTGCCGGTCGGTAACGCTGTGGTGGCAGTGAGCAATGCCATTGGGTAAAGGCCTATTTCAATTGGTACGAGCACACGCACAATCACGCAGCTTTGTGTGTCGTGAAAGTAGCACAGATTGCAAACGAATCAAGCCACCTCGAAAATAAACCTCTTTGACATTGAGAATTCAACCTGTCATGCCAAAATTAAATGCCACATACTTTCAAAGTATTGCTGCAAAACAACACCAATAATAACAATCATTGACAGCCCTTCAGAAATCCACTGCTGGATGCAGAACTCCTCCATGCAGTGTCATGGTCATGGGAGTTGTTAGTCCATAGTTTTCTATTCAAATATTTCTCCTGGAAAATCTTGAGAATGGTGTCCTCCACAGGGTGTCGATTGACACATACACAGCAAACACAAACGCCCATCAGGCCATCCCCTGGCTACCACATTCAGACAAGCCCCCCCCCCCTCCCCCCTTAACTTGTATTTAAGGGCTTGTCTCTTGGATTTTTCCTCACTTGATACAGTAAATTCAGCTGTGACGGTCCCACCTGATGACGGAGACTTGTGTTGCCTCCGAAACGTCGTGATTTATTATTTTATTAATATTATTTTATTATTTATTAATTTTTTTCCCTACGTGACTTTACCGAAAAAAACCTAAGAGTAGCAAACACAAAGTGAGCACGTATACAAAGAAGTAAAATGTATTACTTACATGGCTTGCATTTACACAATGAATATCACATATGCATGCAAAAATACAAATAAAATGGTGCACACCGTTGATTCCTGTAGAATGTGCTCCAAGCTGTAACTATTTCATTGTGCTGATGAGCGTAGGCTCAAGGAGGGCCAAGGGAGGGGGGGGGGGGTAGTGCGGCATGACGTTCAGATATCGGGAAAACGACAACGAACCAATCCCAACCTGGCTTCGATGGAGCAGTCGAGGGGCACGTGCCACAGCGTCTCGACACGCCACGTGAAGTCCACTCCGCCGGCGGCGGATTCCACCGAGGCGGTGGCGTTAATCACGCCCCACAGCGGCACCGAGTAAGCCGAGTTGAGCACCAGGCGCAGGTGCCAGGCGCTGCCGGGCAGTGACGCGAGCAGGCTCGCGCTCCGCGAGCTCACGTCGTTCCTCAACGTCGCGTTCACTTCGAAGCGCCCGGCCGCGTCGTACCGGTGGGCGACGGTGAAATTGTAGCAGCCCCACCGCTCGGCGAACAGGTCGTCGCCGGGACACTCGGCCACCCACGCCAACGCGGACCCCAGCTGGCCGGACGACAGCTCCTCCCGGACGCCGTCGCCAAAATCGAGCAGCAGGGTGAACTCCTGCGCGGGCGCCACGGCGAGGGAGAAGCGGGCGGACGCGGAGTCGTCGAGGTGCAGGAGCGACAGCGCCAGGGCAGTGAAGGGGCGTTCTGCCCTGAGCCAGGCGCCGGCGCCCGCGGAGCCGAGTTCGTTCGTGGCCGTGAGCCGCACCTCGTACGTCCCCGTGGCGTTCACTTCGAGCTGGAACTGACCCAGCGGAGCTCGTGTCAGCCGGCGACACGAGCTCACACGCCACCTCCACAAGCCTACCAAGGTTCACTGCGTGATTTATTTACGCGTTCTATTGGCAATTGCCGACAACCAAATAGATAAATTCTGGAAAGCGTCCGATCCTGTCAGATACCATAAGCTAAGCAGGTTTGAGCCTGTATAGTGCTAGGAAGGTGACCACCCTGTTAAACAAGTGCTATGGGCTGCTCCTGCGCAGCTATGTTGTGAGCAAGCAGAGGGCAGTGCAACACATTTCATTGTTGCACTCCCCCAACCCTCCTTCCTTCTCGTCCAATAGTGAATTGGCCGATGGGCAACACACGTACTGGTACACTTGGAGGTTACATTTGTATTTGAAGTAATGGAATTTATATTTAAAATGTAACGTTCACAATATATCGTCGGTTTTATTGCACGAAATGAGTGGCTACAGGCGGCGACGTTACCGCCACCACACGCGTCGCGGGAGGGGGCCTCACCTTGCTGCTGCCTGTCCTCGCCTCGCTGGCGTTGGGGCCATAGACCTCCCAGCGGTAGACGGCATTGGAGCCATTGGCCAGCTCGGCGCTGAGGCTCACCGGCACGGACAGACCGCTGCCCGGGAAAAAACAAACGCAAACGCATGCACGGCCGCGTTCAAAGGCGCACAACGGACCGGGGCCGCGCACGCAAGGGCCTGCTTGCACTTGTGCCGCCTGTCCCGTCGCATCCACTGCTGGATGAGTGCCTCCCCCCAAGCCTTAAGAGCCGTGCGGGAATATTTGACCGTACTTCAACCGCGCTGGTCAGTGCGGGTTGGTGAAGGTGGGGGGGGGAGTGGAGAACAACAGTGGACGTTGCCACACTGCCCACTGCTGCCCACAACGCCGACCACGGCGGTCTTTTGTGCACGGTGATCGCCCGTCCGAGCGTCATCCAGGTTCAAAACCTGCTTAGCTTTCGTGATCTGATGAGATCGGTGCTCGTTACGGACAATTTGGTCGTTGTCTGTGTGCCCACAGGTGAGTAAAGTCGAAGCCGCGAGTGAATGCGTCCGGCAGGAATCATCGCGATGGTGCGGTCAGCGTTGTCTTCTGCTGCTTCGCGCCTCAGAGGCTACCAAAAGAAGGGGTCATGCATCACAATGCAGGGCCCTCCTAAAACATCATATTGAGACTCAGCGAAGATTTTCTTAAAACATGATTACGTAATGAGGCATAACAGCCAAGGAATGGAATGTGTCCCAGTGTACGTCCAAAATGGAGATGAAGCGACGAAATCCGTTCATGTGCATGTTCCGGATAGATTGTTGCATAGTAAGATCGTGATAGGTGGAGGTGGCGGGTTGCGGAGGCCTTCATTCAGCAGTGGATTGACCGTGGCTGATGATGACGATGATGAGGCCCAACACATCGCGTCGCTTCATCGCCGGGCTGCGGGAGCGTGCGTATGCACTTTCGCGTAGCCTGGCGGTGCGAGGTGCGGTACGCGCGGGTACCTGGAGGGCAGTGCCACCACGCGATCGGCGCCGGAGACGCGCAGCCCCTGCAGGGGCAGCAGCAGCTGCACGAGCGAGCGCGCCCGCACGGCCCCCTGGGACCAGGCCTCCACGGCGCAGAGGCCGGGCCGGGCGTACTCATGCGCGAAGCTGCGGCCGTTCCAGCGGAGCACGAGAAACAAACGGAGCAGTCGGTGTAAAACACGAACGAGGCTCTTCGTATCAAATTTTCTTTAAAATGGCAAAAGAAATGCAATTCGTGCATTTTTCAACACTGTGATTGCTGCGCGTTTAAAATGAAGTGATCGTGTACCGCACCTGTGGTTGAGGAACGACGTGGTATTTATGAGTAGATATTGCTTGTCTCCAAAGCTTATGTTGTAAACTGCTGATGAAAGGATGTTCTGAAATAAAAAAACAAGACAAGTTTATCAGCCCAGATTGAGTTTTTTTTCCATTGCAGACTTTACACACAAGTCAACCAATATGCAAATGTCGATGCCTTTGTGCTAAGCGGGCGGTAAATAAAAGACGAAATCATTTCTACGCCTTCGTCAATCTCATCACTGGTCATGATTGGCGAACACTTCCACGTGTGGTGCAGTTTACAATCAGCGACGGTGGCTCGCACAGTGCACCCCCCCCCCCCCCCCGCCACAGCTTTCAGTGCGCTTACCACGAGCGTGAAATCGAGTTGCCGCCCGACCTCCCAGTACGTGGCGTGGAGCAGCCTGGGTCCCGGCATCGGCCCTCCTCCTCCTGCTCCTCCTTCGCTGACGTTCAGCAAGAGCTGCCCGGTGACGGCGGCCGCCCCATTGGACACGGAGACCGCGACCAGCGCGGGCCCCGCTCGCAGGCACATCACGCCCAAGAGGGGGCTGCCAGACACGAGCTCACGGCCGGGGGCCACCATGCCAGGGGGGCGGGATGGGGGGGCGGCCGTCTCGCCGAGCGGCGCCTCCAAGGAGGTGGGCAGAGTCCAGGAGTAAACGTACTCCCTGGCCCTCCACACCTGGCCTGTGTGCGCAATTGATTAAAATTGCATTAATCTACGATTACCGCAATACAACAATTAGATTCCCCATGACTTTATTTATATTATAATCGAGGGAAACAATTTTACATTGTGCGGTGCATGTTAAAATTGTGCATGATATTCTCACGATGGCAGCCTATGACAGCACTGGAGGTATGCTGTTTCTAGGAAGCGTGTTGTTACATAGCTGTACACTGTTACAGGGTGTTATGATGGTGGCTGTTTAAGTGTCTCACCATTAACAGTCGCCAAAAGCAGCAGCTGTTGCCCCACCACTGCTGGCTGAGAGGCATTAATCGCTGCCACGGTCAGCTCGGGCACCACCGTCACACTTGCCGATTGGCTCACGTGCGACACACTGTCAAACAGCAACAACATTCGAAGTGATGATTAGAATTACCTCGTACGAACAGCGCGTTCCATTAAGATAACGAACATCTAAATAAACCAGCCGTCGATCGGTAGGGATATCAAGTTTCCCAAGAGGAATGGGCGCAAGGTGCGGGCGCAGGTGGTGCCGGGCCACGTACTTGTTGCTGACGTCCGCACGCAGCTGGTGCTGCCCAGTGCCATTGAACACCCAGGAGAGGTCGAGGGTCACCAGGCCCGGAACGCCATCCTCCTCCTGCTGCTGCTGCTGCCACTGCTCGTCCACGACCACACTGAGAATCAGCTCGGAGTCCACCGACACGGTGAGCGTGAGGTCGGTGGCCTCGGTCAGAGTGACGGCGAAGTCCGTGGGGACGCCCGCAGTCACGGTGGAGGGGACGGACACCGCCACGCCCTCCACGGGCCGCTGCACGGTGAAGCGAGCCGGCAAGGTGGCAAGTTCGAAGCCGACGGCGTTGCGTGCGGCGACGCCCAGGCCGTACACCCCGCTCTGCGTGTACACGTGCTCGGCGAACGCGTTCCCTCCCGTGGACATGGGCGCCTCGCCGCTGTCGAACGTCCACAGGAAGTCGACGTTCGTGCCCGTGGCCAGCGTGGCGTTGGCCGTCACCGTGGTCCCCGTGGCTATAACGTGTGGGCTGGGCGAGTGAAGCGTAAGCTCGGACACCGGCTCCTGCACCGTGACTTCCAAAAAGTCGCTGGCTCTGCTCACGGCGTTTGTGAAACTCGCGTTGATCAAATACTTCCCAACCTCCTCAAAGTCGTACAGCAGCTGTGTCGTGTTTTCCAGCACCAGCTCGCCGTGAGGAGTGGTGACCTCCCAGAGATACTCGCATTCAGTGAAGTTCTCAGGGTGAGCCGTTGGCTCGATCCCGTCCGAGAAATTCCGCATGGCGTATATTTGAGCGCCTTCCGAGGTGGATAGGACGGCGGGGCCGTCGATGTCGAACTTATTCACGAGGTCATAAACCCTGACGGGCTCGGGCAGGGCGGCCTCCACCGACAGGTTCCCTGCGGCGAGCGTGATGAACACGTGGTAGGTGCCGGCGACGGCGTAGCGGTGCCGTAGCGTCAGCCGCAGCTCGCAGTCGTCCTCCCCGTAGCTCTGCGCCAAATTCACGTGGCCCAGGCCGCCGATGAAGGCGCTGTAGCTGTCACGCAGCGCGTGGCGGTGGACAATGCCGGGCTCCAGGAAGGCGAGCAGCTCCAGCTCGTGCCGACACGTGGTCACCACGGATGTGGAGAACTCCACCGGTGTGCGCGTGTCCCACGTGGGCCCGCCGGCCACCCGCAGCGTGAAATTAGCGAGGAGCTTCGGCACCACGACCTGTGTAACGGGGCGGGGGGCGATTATCTGACCGGTCCTAGGCCTTTCCTAAATCGACACGGCCACAAATGAGTACCTGGTGCCATGTGTAAACATCGCCATGGTGCTGACCACCCACCCCCTTGTCTGCCATGCCGGCCTTCATAGGGGAGGTTGACGCTGGGCAGCGGGGGGGGCGTGGGGTACGTGCAAGACGACACGAGTGGCGGGGGTGTTAATGCCGCAAGTGCAGACGTGTGGAGAGAAGTGGCAGCAGTGGAAGATCGGTGCGATCCCTCGTGTCTCTGAAATACGCTTGCGATCATGATTAGAAATAAAATAAAACTCTACTTACCACCTCAATGCTCTTTGAAACTGCGCCGTGAATGTTTGACGCGATAACTTCGACAGTGAAGGCACCTTCTTCTGCGAATGTGTGGATCTGTGTAGACCGCAGATACAAAGACAACAAAGCTAGACGTTGTGCAAGCCGACGTCAGCTGTGCTATATAAAGACAAAGATCCCCCGTATAGCATTAACAGACTGTTGGGGCAAGTGCTTTTAGCGATCACCCATGAAGACCGACATGGCACACAAGGGGGTGGGTGGTCAGCACCATGTCCGGCCGCCTTTGTCTCCCCAGTGGCGATGTTTTTACACACCGTACCAGGTACTCATTTGAGGCTGAGTCGACCTATGGGAGGCCCAGAACCAGATCAGATAATCGTCACTGATGTTGGCCGTGAGCGGGAATAGAGCTCAGGTCGCCAAGTTTGTAGCGCAGCATGCTAACCGCTATGCTACCGCTCCCCACTATACAAAAAGCACACACCCACATATACAAACCAGGGCTTATGCAACACACGCTCAAGCTAATTACGTTAAAGATGCATATCAAGGACTGCTGTCAGCTCTTTACATCCTCGCGGATCAGCCCAATCAGGGCATGAAAGAGAATAAAATGTGTTCAAATCACAAACAGAGACCTTCTGTTTCATTTTGGCGACTGCAAAGCGGGCACAAAGCAGCAGCTCATTTGAAAACGACCAACCAAGGCGATGTGGCGCACAGCCTCATCGTTAACCATCGACTAAACCGCAGCCGCGGTCAGAGCCACGCACCTGCGAGTCTCTGGAGCACAGCGTCCCGTTGTACTCGTCGCAGTCGTCCGGAGCTCGCGATACCGCGTCCGCGCCGCCCTCTCCCGCAAACCTCCACCGGAAGGTGATGTTGCGCCCGGTCACAACGAACGCTTCCAGGCGGTAGGGCTCCCCGAGGAAGACGGGCAACAGAGTTCCCGCCGGGGAGGAGGTGGGCACCGGATCGGCCGGGGTGGCGCGAGCGCGGGGCACGCAGGTGGGGCGCGACGAGGAGCCGTAGGCGACGTCCACGTTCAGGCCGGTGGGGGAGGGCAGCGCCACGACCAGCGAGACGCTCGCCGCCGCGCTGGAGATGGAATTGCGCGCCGAGACGACTGCACGCGGCCAACGGACGGGGGGAAAAGTCACCCCACCGCCACCGACGGGCAGGTGCAAAACAAGCACAAGACAGTTTGAATTTACGAAGCGCGTACACGTGACCAGATGCTGTACAAAAAACAAAAACACAAGACGTACAATCGATTAGACCACGAATAGGGGAAAGAGAGAGGGAGAGCAGGGGGCTGGAGAATAACATTTCCAGACACGGAGGGAGATGGGCACGGTGAATCGTAGGCAAGACTTGAAAAAATATTCAGCAGTAGGGACAGCCAGGGGGAGTTCCAGACAGCTAGGGCAGCAATAGAGAGGAGGCCTTGGTTACTTGGAGTGGAGAGCAACTGGCGGAGAGTGGCACAAGACGAGAGGGGGAAGAGCAAAGCACGTATTCAACATCTCATCCTGCCCCGCCTGCAACGAATGAGCAATGCCTACCAATGGTGTAATTTCCAGGCTGCTCGTAAACGTAGGCTGGGCCCCGGCTGAACTCGCCGGACTGGAGGCAGTGGAGTGTGGTGACCTCCACCTGACCGTTCCCCCACGCCACTTCCACCTCCACCAGCGTGAGGCTCAGCCATGGCAGCAGAGCCAGGCCTGCAGAGAACACGGTGAAGCGTTAAAGCAGGCACGACGGCGATAATGATTGCGATGATAAAGGGGGCGCTGATGCGGTGGTCATGGTTTAAGCACACAGATGTCACCATATTGGTGTCAACAAAACGACATTTGAAACAAAAAACGAGATTTTTAAATCGCCCTGCCTCCTTCTGCCCATCCAGCAGCTTTAATGGATACACCAGAGTTAGTTGTTAGGCAGGTCGTGTTTGGTGGTGTAATGTGTGGGTAGTCCTACCTCTTACAAGAAGTCCGGCAAGCATTCTATGCATATACCTTGACATTATTTTGCACCATACAAAGCCAACTGTGCTAATCGGAGGTGCTAACGCATTGAAGAGTAGGCCACTTATTTTCTAGGGGGGCTCTCTAGAGCTCCCTTCAGTGGCACGAGCAAGAGATTGGAGGCATGCGCTGCTACCTCCAAACGAGGCAAGGGTACAAAACTCGGCTCGTACATTGATTTGCCGCGTGTTCTAGGAGACTGACGGTGGGTTTGTGATGCGATGCCGACCCGTGCTGTGGTTGGTGCTGGGTGCCGCCAAGCTGCCCATTGCCTCCAGCAGGAAGTGGCGCCCTGCAGGGATGGAGCGGTAGAGCAGAGACACGCGCAGGCCCAGGATGTAGGGTCCGCTCGTCTCGTACACGGCCAGCGTGTCGTCCCCTCCTCCCACTGGGAGGCATGTGGCTCCATCGCAGCTGCACCACAGCGTGGGGTGTCACGGGGGGACAGGGATGCATTCACTTATGGCCTGTTCATTGCTGCACGTCGGTTTATTTTCTCAAGTGAGATCCTCCGGCAGTGGGGGTACGAGGAAGCCGAGTCGTGTTTTGCAAAACAACATCAAGCTACGGTCACTGTGACAAAAAGTAGCTTGAAGAGTTCTGTAAAAATGCAGGGTAGCCTTGTTGACACTGAACTATGATCCGTCACTAAGGCCCTCTAGACGGGGCATTGCTGACGCAATACACCGAGGTGCAAGCTCCAAAACATCTGTCACCACCCAATGTCTCTGTCACAGGGAGGAAACCATTATTCACTTTACCACGAAGAGAATTCCTCTGGCTCTGCTCTGTGTGCGAGCCTTCCTTTGGATAGAAAGTGAAGAAAAAATATACCACTAATGGCAAGAATAAATGGTATAATGCACCATAATTATGCAAGCAGGATATTCAAATAGGAAAATTGAGGGTCATTATCAAAAGTCTGCTCCAGCACTCGCCTTTGTGAGCAGGCGGTGTCATTGGCAGGAGGGAGCGACGTCGTCTCATTCAGGCACGCACACTCCGAGCCCGAGAAGATCCCAGCAAACCGGCACCTGCGTACACAAACCAACGGGAATGCAGTGCACACAAGAGAATGGCATTGCAACAATTAACTCATTCTTAGCAAAGCGACAAACAAGCAGCAACGAGTTAATCGTGGGCCCGGGCACGAGACGCAATGCAGCACAGCATTCTGGCTGGAATGAATATGTTGGTTCGCCGGCGAGCTTGGCCTCGAGTGTCGGTTACGAAGTCTCATTTCATCATCGCGAGCCCGCGACTCTCGAGCTGGCGTGGCTCCCTGCCCTGCCTTAAGGGTGTGCCACAGTGCGGGGTGCCACAGTGCGATGTGCCACAGTGCGGTGTGCATTGTCGCACCGGCCGATCCAACCACATGTTTATGCACATCCACGCACACCTATTCAATACGGTACACCACGTATCTTTACATAGCTGTGCGACACGCTTGGGATATAACACACGGATTAGCAAAAGCAGGCGGTGTTGAGTTGGGAAAGCCATGAAATACAAACGTTTGTTATGATATAAGGCAACTGGCCAGAGGTCGATGTAACCTAAAGCTAACTCAAATGTGTCAACGGTATTAAAATGGAATGACATGCAATGTGCATGATGATTAATCTGAGTGCTGACAGGAATCCCTCTTGTAAGTTTAATGTCTCTGGTGAGGAGCGGTAGTGTAGCGGTTAGCGCGCTGCGCTACGAACCCAGTGACCCGAGTTTAATTCCCGCTCACGGCCACCACCAGTGACGATTATCTGAACCGGTGCTGGGCCTCCCCTAGGGTGACTCAACCTCAAACGAGTACCTGGCGTGATGTGTAAACTTCGCCACTGGGGAGACAAAGGCGTTCGGGCGTGGTGCTGGCCAACCACCCCGTTCGTGTACCGTGCCGGCGTTCATAGGTGCTCGCTAACAGCACTTGCACCCAAAAGCATCCACAATGCAGGTTTTTGGTTTAGATCGTGTAAAGATATAAATGTGTCGTTAAAACCCGCCACCACCCGACACAGCCAACTAGTAAGATTTGTCACGTAAACAGAACGTGGCCAATTCGTTACTAGCACAGCACGCCGGTGTGTTGGAGAGCCAGGCCACAACATTTACAATCTGAGTACGACGTTTCTGTTCACGTGACAACCCATACTAATTGGCTGTGTCGGGTGGTGGTGGGTTTAACAACACATTTATATATTTACGCGACCTAACCCACAAAAAACCCTGTATTATGGATATTGGTCGCGAAAGCCCCTACGTGTGAAACCCAAAAGCATGTTGAGACTATAGGGGGGGGGGATGTCTTTGTCACATCTCTCAGACACAACGAACGTGTCTCCACGTCGTCGTCGCAAGCGCATCGCTCGCCGGGCTGGAGGCGCGGACCCTGGGGCTGGTGGGGTGCGGCGTGAGGCGGCGTCGGGCGCCGAACGTCACTGCCACGGCTAAGAGACCCCCCCCCCACCCCGAGCCCTCGCGTGACGCAGTCCCCAGAGCCTTTTCTTTGGCCCGGCGTCTGCTGCAGTCACGCGATCGGCGAGGATACAAGACGGACGGGTTCCGGCGAGAGGCTGACCCCTCGCCCAGCCAGAGCGGCGTCCGGGGCGCAGCAGTCATTCCTGTCTGGGCTGAAGGAAGTGGACTCTGCTGGCCAATACGTTCCCACGAAAATGGCCTCTTTTGAACAACAACAAATAAAAAACACACAGATTCAATGTGCTCACGGGGCAATTGTGAGGCCGTGTTAGCGCGCCCCGTTTGAACGCCGCCTTTGCTTTCAATACTCCAGGCGCGTCCTGCACCACAAAGCAATCGCGTAATCCATAAACCCTGCTACCAACTGCTTCACCCAAGTTAGATTCCTGCCCATGGCTAATGTCAGCGGCTGAGCGACATCTCTACCTCTTTCCCCAATCTGCACTGACCCGGAGTGTTAAAGCATGTTCCAACGACCCCAAGACCCGGGGGAGGTCTTCATCCAGCAGTGGATCGACAACGGGCTCCAATTGATTAACAACATTACGAGTATACAGATGATTGTTCATTCGAGAATGTTCATCACAACATGTTCCTGCATGCAGGCTTCGAACCTTCGCTGGCGAGGACTCCCTCCCCCAGCGCTGCCCCTCACTCCCCCGGCAGGCGCACGGAGGTCCGTGACTGTGTGGGAGAAGCGCACATATCGTCGCTGGCGGTGCCGGGCGTCTTAATTAAAAGGCAAATCGATCACGTCGCGAGACACAGGGGTACTTTATTAAGAGCTGGCAGGCAGCCAGTCACGGCCTGTGCCACAGCCTTCCGTGAACCCGGCGGGGGAAGGAGCGAGGAGGTTACCCCCCCCCCCCCCTCCAGGAGTATACAATCACCACAATTGGCGAGCGCGAGAGCCTCCCTGGGTCATCGTGACGATCCATTTGTCTCAATTCCTGGCAATTTGTTCACTGGCAGCGGCCACCACTCGAAGAAGGAGGACCCGGCCAAGGGAAACATTGCAGACGATGCCACAGCCCACATTGCGCGCACACACACAACAACAACAACAACCGCCATTCGCCACTAAGTGGCAGTGACGTCACCACAACGCTTGTGCCAGGCTATGTGCACCTTGAGGCCATGTGAAGTGTCGAACGCCCGCTGGCAGGAGGTCACGGGGCAGACCCAAGTGCCACGGGTCGACTGAAATGACTGGCTGATGTACCACTTGTGCCCCTTACTGTGCCAACTTGCTGTGCTTTAGCCACTCGGCGCTCCGCTCGTTGTTGTGAGCGTCGCTCCTCCACCCTCCGTTGTTGTTGGAGGGCGACTGCCTCCAACTGCCCAGTAGCGTCCTTCACGAGCCTGCTCCACAGAGGCCGATCTTGAGACCGCTGGTACCAGTCATCGGCAAGTTCACTCAGCTCCACATCCTCCTGTACCACATCACTCCATCTCTTCTCTAACCCGTGCCGCACCCGTTTAACCCCCTATATCCGGCCGAACAAAAGCTGTTAAAGCATGCGGTGACTGGGCATGCGGGCTACATGACCCAGCCAACGCAGCCTTGCCTGCCGGAGGAGCTCACCGATGGGATTTTTCCCAGATCTTTCAAGGATTTGTGAGCTCCTCACACAATCCAGCCTGGTTAAACCCAGGATGGATCGTAGGCAGGCCAGCCTAAATGTTTCCAACCGGCAAAGATGCTCCATTAGGGGGGTCCACGTTTCGCAAGCGTAGAGGGAATGTACATACACACACACCTGTACACACACCTACGAAAGCCCCCCCGGTGGAAGTGCAGGAGAGCAGTCTTGAGCTGCGTGACTGTCCGATTTAGTTTTTTTTTATTTAAATGTTGATCATTCCATTCAAAGCCCTTCGCCGATTGTTGCAGAAAAAAGCCAGCTCTGGCCGACAGGTATGAGGAAGAACAGGTTCACCACCCCCCCCCCCCCCGGGACTACGTCTGAATGCACGCACGGCAGACGACACCGAGGCAGAGCTGCAGGAAACGCTCCGACGCGCAAGAGACCGCGCACGACTAAAGAATCATCGAGTTCAATTCACGAGAGGGACTGCGAATCCGCGCGCACCGCAGCCACGCGCCGGGAATCACACGGTGCTCTCTGGAAATGTTTGGCGTCACGACGACACCGTTACGCGCGTTAATGATTTACGCCGCACTTAATGAACCCCACGTAATGTTTAACTCGCATCTGCGCTTCTTAAACACTCGAGGAAGATGTACTGTATGTTGGTAAAAAACATATTTTTTAATGAATTATACAAAAGCTGCTAACAATTAGCCCCACAGAGGCGCTGATGTGGGTGTGGCAATCTGACAGCCGCATCCACAAGCCAATCCCGAATGCCCATCGCCCAAACAGAAGCGCGCAGCAAGGAGCCCTTGTGCACAGCGGTCCGGCCGCTCAGCTCATTGAAGAGAACACATCTCGGGAGACGATGACAACACTGGCGGCAGCAGCAGAATCTCCAGCATCCAAAGTCGCGATTAATTGTTTTATGCCACACAAACCTCTGTGGATGGGGCAGATGAAAAGCTCCCGTGTCCTCCAGTGTGCTCCAGTGTGCGTACATGTGGGTACGTGTTCGTACGTGTACATACATGTGGGTACGTGTTCGTACGTGTGCGTACATTTGCTCCTATGCGCGTACGCATTCGTACGTGTTCGTCCCTGTGCCAGGACTACCCGGGCTGCTCCATAACCTGGGCAAGTGAGAGTTAATGACGACGATGGCTCGATGGGATTGTCATGGGGTCGTGACTCACAAAGCATATCAAGAGCAAGAGAGGACTTGCCCAACGTCATTCATCAAGATCGAATGCGGTCAAGGAGTTGCGGAGCTGAGATCAGCCTCCCGTGGTGGGGCGATGAGTCAAATGGCCGAGCTTTGTACGCAGCTCGCCAGACACAGGAACGGTGTGCATCCAATAAAGCTTTACGAACATAGAATCCAACACCAAGGCCAACGAAACGTGGGAATTCGGTCACTTAGATGTGCACTGGGTGAGAATGGCGCCACAGTGGCGAGATGTTAACTACCTCGCCTGCTATGCAGGAGGTCGTGGGTTTAATCCCGACCCTGATGCCTGGATGTGGTCGCGTGGATTTTTCTCCGGGTCCTCCACATTTAGAAACATGCATTTAAAGTTTATGGCTCCAATAGATTTCCACATGATACGCCACTAAGTTGTGGTCAGGTCGCTGCTGTAAAATAGCTATATAGCCCAGTGGCACACGTCTGGTTTCCGCCAGCGATTGTGCACAGGTTGCCTTGCACCGTGAATTAAAAACGCACGTCGCTCTTCCCTGCCGGATGGACAGGGGATCGAATTAGCCGCAGCTTTAAAAGGCATGACTGGCTCTTAATTAATCGGCTCCGCAAGGCACCCCGCGAAACTCACTTGAATGCAATTATCACCTCGCGAGTGTTAATTGGGAAACCTTGCTGTGTAATCTGTCGAGCACACGGTGCTGAGCCATATGCCTGTGGCATTGCGCACAGGCAGAGAGCAGCCTTCCTCCAGGAAATGTGGTCCCTTCTTTCCCACCACCGGCTGAAGCTCTAAGTGAAGGGCTTTGCAAGATTGCTTCGTGATGAAATCACACACTCATTGCTTCAGGGTGAAATCGCACAACTCACCCTCACCCGGTCACACGTGCCTCTTTAAAACGGCATAACTGAGCCAGACCGGAGCCGTACGGAGCCAAGCCAACACGGCTCAGGAGGTGTCAGGTTGTTTTTCCACTGCAAAAGCCAAGGCGTGCCACTGATGTAAAATGCAAGAAGTCGTTAGCCCCATCCCTGGCCCTGCTTGGCCTCAAGCCAGATTGATATGGCTTGTGAGGTCGGCAAATCACAGTTCAGTCCTATCTTGGCACAGCAAATAGCCAGTGGACCCCCCCCCCCCCGGCCCACGTACCGTGAGAACCCCGTGCTGGCTAGGTTCGGCTGTACCAGAGCCGAGGACTGACCAAGCGACTTGTCCCATAGCCCTGGGCCGTGAACTCACCTGAGCTGCAGGCAGAGCTGACAGCAACCTGACACCCCACCGACGCCTCCTCCTCCACCGAGGTCAACTGCCCCAAGCCACTGCAGGTCGCCAGTACCCGCCGACGACGAATTAGGGGCGAGCCGGCACCCCTGGAACCAAGACGAGCCTGCGGCATGCAGGAGACACGTGCACGCACACGGGAGTCATTGTAACTCGTTACATTACCACGGGTTGTCAATTTGTGCCATCGTTTGCATAAAAGAGTGCCCAACAACAAGACTTGTCACACACTAAAAAGTTTGCCTGTAATCATCTGGTCATGAGCAATTACGTGCTTCTGAACTAGAGGGCCGCTGTGTGTCCGTTCCTAAAAGATGTGGGCAGCTCTGTTGCCAGTGCACCTGGGTCGGGGGCCTCCAGCGCCCCTCCCCCACCCCTCCACCCCCCCCGTGTCCAACAGGCGCCCCATTGTGAGGGGGCGCCAGCTTGGCACGACGGGCAGAAAGCCGAGCGCGATAGGGGGCCAAAACGGAGGGGAACTCGAGCACGGAGGCCCGGGCGGAGAATGCCATCTCCCGTTGCAGGTCATCGCGACGCTGGCACGATGCATATCGGCGGAAAAATGAAGCCCAGGCCGAAATGAATGACTGCCGTGGGCACGGCGAACAGAGCGGTCCGTTCAGGAAGGACGCCATCGTCGCTGGCGTTGAGTGACACGAGCCCGTGCCACGCTCCGCTCGTCAGCCCCCAAGCCCAGAGATGTAGCTCTCACTTGAGTCTGCTGGAAAGACTCAAAACATTCGTCAACAAACGCTGTGGCCTTAAAAAAAATATATAACAGGTGATGTTTTGGGCGAAGGACCTTCTTCATGGCATATAAACAAGGGCCACTGCGCATAACGTGGCCTATCATATATGTTGAATTGTAAGGGTCGGTGTTATTGAAGAATGTTTTGAGGTCTTTATATTATTTTTTGTGCTTGTGCACTACTGCCAATGTAGCCGCGGCACCAAATAATTAATTTATGTCAAGATACAAACTCATGACATTCACGTCCAGTAAAACTCTCTCTTTCCACGCTCGCGAATGCAGAATTCGCGAATGCAAAAACTTTGTTCCAATGGGAAAAATGGGATTACGTTCCTGGTACGGGTGAAAATAGGTAGGGAAATGGTAAATGTTTAATAACAACGACGACAATAAATGAGTAATACATTATAAGGAACAAGGTGGGTTTTTGTTTTAATTACCTTTCATGATGATGATGAGTTACCGACGATGGAGGTGGTGATGGTGAGTAATTCAGGAGGATGACTCCTCGCGAGAGGCAGGTATTTGATAACAACGCCACACAGCTGTTATCGTTTAGCACTCTGGGGTAGCGCTCGCCGCAACAATTTCCCTGATTGCATTCGCGTTCTCTTTAATGGACCTCACAGTCGACTCGTTTATACCAAAATGTTTAAACGAGTCGGCTGTAAGTACGTATTGAGTAAACAATGCACATCAACGAATTCAGAGCGGGATTACTGTGAGGCTGAGGACTAAGCGGGCAACCGAGGTGGCGTGCCTAATCTTCGCCGTTTCAAACGTAACCACGTTCTGTGCACACTGCTCCAGTGTCGGTGGCCTGGCACTACGCACACTCGCGAATACTCTGGAGTCTGGTGGGTCACGATAGAGAATTAATATACATTCAGTAAGTAACTCGCCAATATGCGAAACTCGCAAATCCAAAAATCGCTAATCGCGAGGGTTTACTCTACTCAAGTATGGCATGAAAGTGTACTTTGAGCTATAATTAGAATCCTGAACTGCATCACTGTTGTGCATTGTCACATCTCTGGAGGAGAGCTAGGTTCAATTCCGAGTGAAGCAGGTTGGAAACGTGCGATTAAAGAAAAAAATCACCCCTTTATTCAGCAATTAAATAACTTTTAAACTAGAATTGTACATCACAAGTAGTGGGGTAAAGTGTGGGTACTTGCAAATCACCAACCTGCCACAATGCGTGCTCAACCTTCAACACTAACCACACTAAAATACACTTTTATTTTTATTTTACCAGGTAAGGACCACTAAGTTATGTAGCACTTTTTCAGACGTGACCTGGCCACAAATGATAGCTCAACAAAGTGGCTTGTCACGTGGAACTTTATAGCAGCCAATTACTCTAAACGCATGTTTCTAAATGTGGAGGGAAAAACCAGAGGACCGGGAGACAAATCCACGTGACCACGGAGAGAACATGCAAACTCCAAATATACAACAGGCGTTAGGGTCGGGATCGAACCCACGACCTCCTGTATGCCAAGCGAGGTAGCTAACATCTCCTAGTCACCGTGGCACCCACATTATTTATCATCAGCACACCAGCTGATTTCCTTGCTCCATCTCCGCAGTCGACGTCCTCTCGGACATGATCCCGGTTACGGTCGCCACTCTCTCGTCAGTCTCGGCCACCGCGAACAATCCCCTTGCACCACTCAAGACTCACGTCCCCGTTCGCGCGCAGTGTTTTCATGTTCGATTACATTTAAAGGCTATAAAAAATATATCTCACGGTCACTGAATCCGCTTGTTTACCCAGAAGAAAGCCAAAGTCGCCACAGTAGGGGGGCGATGTTTGCTATAAATATTCCATTTGAGTTATTTGCGGTGTCGTTTTTCAATTTTTGGAGCATGACACCGCCGCACACAATGGGACCACTCTTGCCAAAGACATCACGGGACCTTTAACGTCCGCTGTGAACGTTGTAAACAAAGACAATGCAAGTGTAATTGCTTGAATGTGAATCAGTCGAGGCGTTGAGTTGAAGACTGGAACATGAAGTGAATAAAGAGACGATGAAGGAGACTGACGAGATATATCGCGCGCACAGACTCTCGATTCGTGACCCAGTTTGTGGTCGCGCAAGAGTTGTCACGACACATGCCGTGACCTGGACACGCAGCGAAAATGGGTTAACTTTTTAGAGAGATTTTAGTTAATTATTTTCGATTGGAGTTTATGGGTTAATCAGGGGGGGGGGGGTTCACGAACCCAATGCTGCACAGATTCAGAATCAGAATATTTATTGACACTGGAGGATTCAGTCGACAGCCGAGCAAGCGAAAAGTACGTGTTCACAATACGATGACTACACGAGCATATCATCACCACCACCATCATTATCGTCTCGTCTTCCCATCCTCCTATAGCAATGTCACAAGGACATTCGCTGAACTTCTTTAAAAGCAATCGCAGCCGTCGTCACCACCGCACACTCCGTGCACAAGGCGCTCTTCCCGGTGCGCATCCCCGAGCGAGTAGGAGCAGGGTTTGGCGGCGGACGGAGATGAGCCGTGTGCTATGACATCTCACCGTTTATGCTCGCCTCAGTGTCAGCAGCGGTGGCAGGAGTCGCAGGGGTGACCACGGCGAGCAGGGAAGAGGCCAGAATGAGCCGGAGACCCACGGGGAGCAGAACCTGCCGGGGCTGTCTCCCCATGCTCGAGCCGAGGCGCCTCCGACGAAAGGGTCTGGCTCACCTGGTACCGGGGCTTTACCTGGCGGGCGGGCTCACGTGGAGGTCTGCCTCACCTGGCGGGCCGGCACACCTGGGGCCGTGCCTCCTCCGTGTGCGCCGCGCCTCTCCCTCCATGCCAGCACCGGGGCAGAGCGCGCGGGCCGGGGAGGGGCCACGAGGGGAGTTCCCTCACCGGGGCTGACGTCAGGGGAAGGCTGTCGGACGCCAGTGGCCAGTTGCGTCAATGCCTCGCCCAAGTGGCTTTAACTGGGGACTTTCGTTGCTGTGATTTCGGGGTCGTACCCGGGGAGCGAAACGCCAGACATCGTACTAAACAAAACGCGGCACAGCCCGAGAATATATCGGGGAGCTACCCAGGGCAATCGCGAAAACCTACGCAGTTGTACATGAATAGAGAAATAATGTACAACCGTTTGTCAAGTCACTGCTGCATTACGGCTGGCTACCTTCAAACCTTGTAGGTCACGGGGGTTATTTCACCATATTTCTCCATGCGCAAAGCAATAACGGTCTCAAAGCCATCGACGGAGAAACGTCGCCTCATTAAATATCTCCTCGCGTTCCCTGCCAGATACGCAAAACCACATCACACGGCGCAGACTACAATATACAAGGTGTTCGTGAAGGTGAAATGTTCGTAACGCGAATTGGATAGAACCAGATGGATGTATAGTGTGGACACTTTTTATATAACGCGGAAGCGAATTTGATATAACGCGATTGAGTGAACAGATCTACGTCGCGTGAGTAGGGGGCCGTCCATAAATGACGTCACGCACCTGGGGGGGGGGGGGTTCAGACATTTGTAACGATGTGTGACGAGGGGGGAGGGTGAGAAATGTGACGTCACATCAACATGCGCAACTTTAAATAAATATTGACAACACGTTCTACTTAGTTAAATATACTTTTTGATAAATGTTTTCTCCTACAACATCAGAGTGCAGTGCCACATTAAATACGCACGACAATGACAATAGTTTAAAGCGATTTGAAGCATGTTTTATTTTTTTGTGGGGGGGGGGGGGGCAGAGCTTTGTAACGTCATATTTGAGGGGGGGTCTGACTTTTTGTGACACCGTGTGACGAGGGGGGGGGGGGGTCAAAAATCGTCCAAAGTCGCGTGACGTCATTTATGGACGGCCCCTAGGAATAAGCGGTTGTACGGATGCCTCTGCGTAACATCGCACAAGGCAGCGGGATGCTGCTGGATGCTTCGAGATGCTACCCACGCGCCTCAGTCTCTGTTCAGCCTGCGTACTTATATCTCGTTATCGCGGACTCTGCATGACCCCACATTAGATATTATTTATTATAACGCGACTTGGTTCTTTCAAAAAGCGGTGTCCTTCAGGAACTCAACCACCGCGTTAGAGGAGAACGCTCTGCGCGAGTTGCGTGGTTGATGTTGGGGTTGAGCGAGTTGCGTGGTTGATGTTGGGGTTGAGCGAGTTGCGTGGTTGATGTTGGGGTTGAGCGAGTTGCGTGGTTGATGTTGGGGTTGAGCGAGTTGCGTGGTTGATGTTGGGGTTGAGCGAGTTGCGTGGTTGATGTTGGGGTTGAGCGAGTTGCGTGGTTGATGTTGGGGTTGAGCGAGTTGCGTGGTTGAGTGTTGGGGTTGAGCGAGTTGCGTGGTTGATGTTGGGGTTGAGCGAGTTGCGTGGTTGATGTTGGGGTTGAGCGAGTTGCGTGGTTGATGTTGGGGTTGAGCGAGTTGCGTGGTTGATGTTGGGGTTGAGCGAGTTGCGTGGTTGAGTGTTGGGGTTGAGCGAGTTGCGTGGTTGATGTTGGGGTTGAGCGAGTTGCGTGGTTGATGTTGGGGTTGAGCGAGTTGCGTGGTTGATGTTGGGGTTGAGCGAGTTGCGTGGTTGATGTTGGGGTTGAGCGAGTTGCGTGGTTGATGTTGGGGTTGAGCGAGTTGCGTGGTTGAGTGTTGGGGTTGAGCGAGTTGCGTGGTTGAGTGTTGGGGTTGAGCGAGTTGCGTGGTTGATGTTGGGGTTGAGCGAGTTGCGTGGTTGAGTGTTGGGGTTGAGCGAGTTGCGTGGTTGAGTTTTGGGGTTGAGCGAGTTGCGTGGTTGAGTGTTGGGTTGCGGGAGTTGCGTGGTTGATGTTGGGGTTGAGCGAGTTGCGTGGTTGAGTGTTCGGGTTGAGCGAGTTGCGTGGTTGATGTTGGGGTTGAGCGAGTTGCGTGGTTGAGTGTTGGGGTTGAGCGAGTTGCGTGGTTGAGTGTTGGGGTTGAGCGAGTTGCGTGGTTGAGTGTTGGGGTTGAGCGAGTTGCATGGTTGAGTGTTGGGGTTGAGCGAGTTGCGTGGTTAAGTGTTGGGGTTGAGCGAGTTGCGTGGTTGAGTGTTGGGGTTGAGCGAGTTGCGTGGTTGAGTGTTGGGGTTGAGCGAGTTGCGTGGTTGAGTGTTGGGGTTGAGCGAGTTGCGTGGTTGAGTGTTGGGGTTGAGCGAGTTGCGTGGTTGATGTTGGGGTTGAGCGAGTTGCGTGGTTGAGTGTTGGGGTTGAGCGAGTTGCGTGGTTGATGTTGGGGTTGAGCGAGTTGCGTGGTTGAGTGTTGGGGTTGAGCGAGTTGCGTGGTTGAGTGTTGGGGTTGAGCGAGTTGCGTGTGCTTTACCAATAGCTCAACAAGTTTGGTCTTCAACAGCACACGACCAGAGGCAATCGAAATGATCGCAGTCAATATGTTGGGGAGGACCGCAGGGACTTCTCAAATGTCGATGCGATGTGTGCCGCCAAAAAGCTTGGTGGACACGTGAAGAATTAGAGGAGATGACAGTCAATATGATACAATATTCACACGACCAAGTTTGTGTGTAGTTTAATCAATAAAGCCAAACAGTTACCGAATTATGCTCATTCAAGGACGGGTGATAGCTTTATGGACACCCTTATAGGTACTGCCAATGACATTCTGATGGACCATTCGCGTTACCACCAGGGTCTAGCATTCATCTCTGAGCTATAGCATGAACAGATGTCATCCCAATCTGTACACTCCTCCGTCACGAATCACCTTCCCAGCGGACCAACTTGCCTCTCAGAATCGACTGCGACCAGCCGGCCGTGACTGAGTGACTGGAGGACATTCAGTCAGCTAACCCGCAAGGCCTAAGACTGTGCCAGGAAGCTGTCAGCAGGCCTTCTGTGCACCTAGCCTGGCACAAGTGCCACGGTGACCGAACTGCGTTCCATGAGAATGCAAAAATGTGGCACAAATATCGTCCTATGCTTATAACAAAAACTAATCAGATTTTGCCCCCCCCCCCCCAAAAAGAAAAAAAACATGGTTCAAGTCACTCGCAGAGAAGGGGTCAGCTTAAATGACTAACTTGCTTTAAGACTTCGGGTAAACACGCGAACCCATCTAAACCAAGCGGTTTACCTCCCGTGGAGTGTGACGCTAAAGCCGATATAAAGCGAGAAAATCCGATTAGTCAGCACGCAAACACACACACACACCACGTGTTTCTCACGTTGACAAGCAAAGCCTCGCTGAGGTCTATAGCTCTCTTCCATCGACGCGCAAATGCGGGGCGATTGAGGAGCATCTTCTCAGTCGTGAATCGAGGTAAATCGCCTACCCTGGGGAAAACGCCTGGCATGCGAGGAGAGATTGTTGGGCTCTGCTGTGAAGCTATCGCGACCCAACCATGTGACTTGAGAACTGCGCCAGGAAGGAGTGTAACTTTCACGGCGCGGTGGTGGTGGTGTGTCATGTTGACCAATCATCACGTGCGTGCAAATGCGTAACGCGTTCACTTGTACTTGAGCGCGCGTGGTGGATCGTGACAACTGCAGTCTGAGGAAGCCCGATGTAGATGCTGTAGATTCAAGTGACTGGCGGTCACCGCCCGCCGCAGGGCTCATCAGCAGGAGAAGGCGGGAGGCTCAACTCAGTCACCGCTCTGTCGTGAGGACCACGGCTTCAATCGCCACGGCCTCGACGGGCGGACAGCGCCACCTGCTGCCCGTGTGCGGGGACAGCCACGGGGCCACCGCTGCAGCAGACGGTGCCGTCCGCCAGGTGGCGCGCGCCAACAGGCAACCGGCCACCGAGCAAAGGCCTCAAACGGGGCGTTTGCAATTGAAGCACGAGGGCAAGGAGACATGGGCGCACGGGGATACGGCAACTCCGTTAATTCTATTACACGCACGCCGTGACACATCATTATTGTCGTAATCAGCCATGAAATATTCCAGGTGGCTCAGCGATAGAAACGTGTTTTTGGAGTATCTGGCTGCTACAAATGTCCATACGATAGTCCACTTCGTTGAGCTATCATTTGTTATAGCCAGGTCGCTTCTGAAAAAGAGCCGCGTTGCTCAGCGGGGCCTTATTTGCTCAGATAAATAAATAGAGCGGACGGCTCGCAATCCGAAGGTTGGGAGTTCAAGTCCTGGTCTGGCGTTGATTCAACCTGTCATCCGTCCCGGATAAATAAACATTGGTAACACTTTATAACAAAGTCACAGGTGCCTGTCCTATGGAAACACCCACGCCCGCCAAAGGAGTGTGGAATTTCCACCACTGGCTCAAGGTCTGTTAACAGGAGATGAGCACCGCCTCAGTTGAAAACTCACTTCTTTAGCGCTGCTTTTTGTGTTTGGTTTGTTGTCCTTCCCCGCACCTCCGATCAGAACGGTTGGCTACGTACGGTGCGAAAGAAGTTCAACATACATTCGTACAATTCTTGTTTGAGCAGGAAAGCACCTTGGCTGTCCATCGCCACCCATCGCAGCCTCGCGATGCAACATCCCATCTCGCTTCTGCACAGGAGCTCACCTCACGGCTCTTTCTCCATGGTGGACGTCCTCTCGGACATTTTCTATCTCCTCGTGGCTCTCACTCTATCGCCCGTGTTGACCGCTGACCATCGTCCCTTCTAGCCATGTGTCTTGTCCGGCCCCTTGTCCTCGCAGTGTCTACGCGATGTTTCTCATTTATTCCCTGATTGGTGCACTAATCCTTGCGTCTCTCGGCGCAATTCCAATCAGTATACCTCTCCATGCGTCATGTAAGCATGTGCTCCCTTTTCTTTTATAAGTGTTCGTGTGTCTGATTCATATGTCAGAGCACTGCCAAACTCACCAACCATCT